CGGGATCCCGTGCCGGGTCGTACAAATGCGCTACATCGATGACGAAGTGCTTGCGGCCCTGAGGATCCAACGAGTCTTGATCAAATCTCTTCCCCCGTGTAACAATTACGATCGAGGTGTCTGAATTTATGGCCCTTTCAATTTCCCTCTGAACTGTATATCGTAGATGATGATGGAAGCCAACGATCGTTTGCGCAGTAGCGTCCATGGCCTCTTCTGTCCCGGACCTGCGGGATGTTCTTTGGAATCCCTTCTGTGATAGGTATCAACTTTTCTGATCAGTTCAGCAGCGAAAGTGTATTTTGTGTTATCTTTAAACCTTCTGGAAAAACTCCTGCAAAAACTGTCAGAAGCAATGTTCCGTCTGAGCTAGGTTGACATTAGGGAGTGTTAGAAAATGTGCTGCGGAGAATCCATCATGTCCAAAATGGTTGTGGAGTGATCAGTGTCCAAAATGTGCCAGACAGTGTCGAAAGACACGAATCCAGCATGTCTGGAATCTGAGGTCTGAGCCATCCTGTGACCGCTTGATGCGGTAGGTACCCATATCCCAGCACCTGGTCTGTTTCGCGGGCAGCGGCCAAGTTCAAGATGCGACTTCTTTTCTAGAATTGATTCTTATTAAACATCCTTGTTGAGGCAATACTTGTCAGACACTTCTGACTAACCGCTGTCTGTTGAAAAGAAGTTTCTGACTGCTGGGGCGTCCGACTCTTTGAAGTTAGCTTGCCTGCACTTGGTTTAGTCCGCAACTGTGTGAAAAGTGGATGACACAAGGTTTTTTTTTCCCTGCGGCGCTCTTTGCTGCACTTCGGCATGGTCAATGGCCAGTCTGGACAGTGTGGGCCCACGCTACCGGATCCCAGTGGTCCGCTTCCATGGCAAAATGCAGGTGTCAAACATCCGAATCAAGCATCCTGACAGCATGTTGTCCGTGTCCAGTGCGTCTGGCCTGGCATTAAAGCTGCTGGTGCCATTGGACTTGATTTGGCCTGGTTGCGGCAAGCAGTGCATTTGCCTCCGCACTTCATGCAAGTTCACTCCGGAGACTGTTAGCCCACACGTCGGTGTCTACCTCACTTCCATCTCATCACCAGGTCACACCGTATGCCTGAGCTATGCTCTGGCCTGGCGCCGTATTGTCCGCCATATTTGCACAAACGAGCGTGGCCAAATCCAGAGAGTTTGATGACGCATGTCTGTGTACGCCCCAAGGCCGTTTCTCTGGCGTGAGAAACAAGGTCGTCCAGATGAGCGCTGGTGCTTCAGAATCTGCGCTCATCTGGACGAACTTGTTGCTGACGCCTTCCTGACGCTCCTTTGTCCTCACGGAGCCCCAGGAGTTTTGTGCCGTTTCACATCAGCTTCTCGTCGTATCTCCGGCTGAGTCGTCGCAGCCGCAGACACGGCAAGGCATTTCCGTGGACCAGGGTTCCGTCCTGTACGACGCAGTGCGGAACTGGTGGCATCTCCCGTCGTTGTTGCTTTGAAAGACGGCGGCGTGCTCGAAGTTCACGAACGCGCAGCTGTACTTCCAGGAACGCTTCAGGTCCCAGCGCAAGGATTTGCGACCCTGCTAAGATACCCCGCTCGGGGTCTCCCCACCACCCAACCTCCTGGAGGGAGTTCAACCTCCTCTTTCGTCCAGGCTCCGGCCGCGGATGGCTGCATGGCATGCAGCCATCCGCGGCCGAAGCCCCCTTGCCGAGTGTCGGCGGCAAAAAATGCATTGCGGCTGGCTCCGTAGTGGCCGCCATATGCGCACCGACGAGCGTTGACAACTACAGGGAGTTTGCTGATCCCGGGCACTCAACCCACTTGCCGTGCCGTGCGGGCCATGGCGCGTTGTTTTCTGGCACGCGTTCGCATGGGTCGATTGCTCGGAATTTCTACTTGGGCAGAAACGCAGTGAAGACAAGTATCTTAAAGTGTGGCTTCGACCATGAAGACAAATATCTTGAAAGTATGAAAGAAGAGCAATCAGAAGATCTTCGCACCTCTGCAGCATCCCGAAGCGATGTACCTGGCGCACGCGAGCACTCAAGCAAAGGCATGGTGTAGATAGTCTTCGACTTGTTGAAACTCAATAAGCCATGTCTACCGTTAAGAATGCGACAGCCTTTTTTTTCCAGGAAAGAGTTGGTAGACTCATTGGCACGACCATTGGACGATAGGAGAGCCAAAGTCGTCTGGCCAGCAGTCCGGCTGCACGCGATACACTGCCACCTTCCAGGGTCGCAACACATGCCGCATCAGCACCAACGCCAACGCTTGCGCGAACCTTCGCGCATCTCTGGCTTTGCGAAATTGAACGTAGAAAAGGCGTGAGCTGTTGTTGTCATTGATGGTTCGACCCAAAAGAACCAGCCACATGAAGCGGTCGCCGCGAGCGACTGTTGCCCCACCTCCCTTGGAACCAAACTGCTTTTCAACTTTCTGTCAGTGTTAGGGCAAAGGCAAGATCGGAAGAAAAGGAATGCTCTGAAGGATTGAATTATTTCAATGTCATTGTGTATCAAAGGAGCAGCTCCTGACAGTTAATCATAGAGCGAGACAGGTATAGTGTAACAAACCTAGAGGACAACTGAACCTCAACCTGGCTGACAACTCATAGCTGATGATGAAGGAACGTGATTTTTCTTGAGCCGAATAACATGCGTCTAGTGCACTAGTGCCTGAATTATGCCATGCGCACCGGCTGAGCTATGCTCTGCGCAGCACCTTGGCGACTAATTATCGTAGGCGTCATCAACCTTCTCTTCAAACGCTGCAAAGAGCTCATCTAGTCCTTGAAAACCAATGCTTTGCTCGCACTGCTCATAGAACTGCAGGCTCTCTGTGATCAAGCTGTCCCCCTCCGACACGGCTGGATTGGAGCCAGACTTGTAGAGCCGAAAGTTGTGTCGCAGGAATGCAATCCGGAGAAGCATCTCAAGCCATGGCCGTGACATGTGCCTCCCAGAAGGTGGCAGCATGTCCTTCACTGACTGCCAAGCTCTTTCTACGCAGACAGTCCCTGACTGTAATTTGATTTGGGCATGGTGAATGGCAACGGCTATGTCTCTCCATGCCCACAGCCCTTCCACCTTCAATGGCTTCTGGAGGCGATCGAAATAGTCCGAGACACTCTGGGTCATGGCCGAGCGGGTCCCATGAACTTGGCCTGGATCGTCAGTTGCCTTTCGCACGCCTCGCTTCCGCCGGCTCCCTTTGCGACCAACCGAGTACCACTTCACCAAGACACTGATCTCACGCCTGGAACATGTTGAGCTACAGTGGGAATCACAAAATTTGTCGCAAGTTCTTGAAAAGGTTAAACGACAAATAAATGGATTACGAGCGGCTTGAACTCTGCCACAGTGGTATATCCGCAAAGTTCTGACGGCAGCTTGGCTCCAACACACTTGCAAAGCCGCCTGATGACTCCAGCTGTTGGCTTGGCGCCGAACACATCTATCCATGTCCTCGCAGTGGCCACGTCTGTCTGCACAAGGAAATCTCGCAGAGCTGCCACCCCATCCGCATTTTGGGACGTCAGCCGCTGATTCTCCGTCTTGTTGCCTTGCACGAGTTGCAACAGAAGGTTCTGAAAGTCTTCTGGCAGGGGCTGCGCTGCAATGGGCTTATCCGATTTCTTGTGACTAGGCGGCACTGCAGGGAGAGAAAGCTTGAATAGGCAAGCCTGTGGCAGCAAGAAAAAGCAAGAGGACTGCCAAATAATAGGATGTCACAGAAAATGTCGCAGGTTATATGTCAAAGAATGCGAAAAAACACAGAGACAATGTGAAAACATATACCGGAAAGAATGCGAGAAGAATGTCAAGATAACATAATGCCTTGTGGTCTGCGATCAAATTCCTCGCGTCTGGGGACGCCGCAGAAACACACCTTTGAAGTGCCAAGCAAGCATGGACAGGGTCGCCCACGATGCGAACGCAGCAATCACCTGCGCCGCGTGCGGCGCCAGCCGCATCGGCTTTTGGGCTTGTTGCTAATACCTCTGTGTGTAGCTCTGGAAACTTCTGCCGGTAGAAAGCTTGCAAAGCCAAACGTTGCTTCTGGTAGGAGTCAGTTGCGTGCGCAATCGGGCACGATTGCTGCAAAGCCATACCAGCCTGAAGGCGGTCTGCCTTCAAAGAATCCACCACGTCTTCTAAGGCAGGAAGAAGGTCTGGAAGAGCTTCGCTCCGCAATAGCTCTGGCGGAGCAAGCAAGCTGCCATCCACGCCTAGAAAGGCAACGAGGCACCCGTGAGGCCGCCGGCGAACACCACCAGAAAATTCGACTACTCTCTCAGGGATGTCGTAGTTTCCGTCATGTCTGAGCAATGTGCCCGCGTACAAGTTGATGTGTTGTCGGAGCCGTTTCACTGCCGAAGATGTGTAACCCTCTAGGGCGTTGAGAAGGATCTTCCGCAAGGAGACATTGGAAGGAATTGCTGTGCACAGTGTGCGCAGGCGAGTCATGCAGCCGAGAGCCAAAGCAGAAGCCCCGATTTGCTCCACGATGGCCCTTTTAGTGGCTCTAACATTGAGGCGTCTGTAAAAAACTTGCACCAGATAAAGCAGAAATTTCTTGGTGAAGAAAACTGTGCCGTGGCGACGATCCCGCCATGTCAAAAGATCAGGGAATGCCGCTTGCAAGTCTGACACTGTGATGACATAATACCGCATGGACGCCCCGTTTGCCGCGCAGGTGCGGCACCGATATCTGCGCCCATCAATTTGTATTGGAAAGGGCAGATCCCATACCCAGATGCTCCGTCGCTCATCTGACATCTGTGAAGGAAAATGACAAGGTTGCTCTGAAAGATGTTTCTCCAAAGCAGCTGGCATCACTTTGCGAACGGTCAAGTCTGCGTACACTACACTGCCTTCGGGTGGTTCACGCCAGCGCTCGGCGAGGTCGCAAGCCAGAGCAGAAGACTCTTGCAACACCTACGGAACAAAAACGGCCAACCCTTGGCAGCTGCAAACTGATAATGATAGTGGCGGAGTAAGAACATATCGTCCTACGTCCAAACTCTTGACATTCAAAAAAACAAGCACCCTCTGAAACTTTGTACTCTCGTCGTGGAAACACTGGCCTCTTCATCCGGGGAGTTGTCTCTCTTCTCAAAAAGAAGGCTTGCGCCTCGGCGTTGTGTGCCCTGCAACGCGCGGAAGCTCAAAGAAATAGAAGACAGAGCGCTCTTGGCGACAGTCCGACACTCAGCCAATCTTGCCTCAGGGTGCTGGGACAAAAGTCGCTGATAATAAAAATTGCGCCTCTAAAGCCGTATGTTTGAACTATTGTGGTATTCAAGAAAAAAGTTATGGAAGAGGAAAATTCCAGCATGGCAATCTCTGAACGCCCACCATTTCCAACATGACACTCCTTGCTGATTCCACGTGCCTTGTGTACCGCTTTCCCTTTGTGCTCAGAAGCGCACAGAGGAATGACATCTGCGAGATCAAGATCTCGCCTTCGAAAGACATTCAAAATAAACACGCTGTCACCAGCCACCTGCGCAAACAATCCACTTCGAGGTTCCAAAGGACCCACCTGGAAAGCGATGTTAAAAGTATCTGAGAAGAAAACGTTTCGCATGGAACTGGTCTGAAAACGTGCATTACAGCCCGCCCGGCCTTTTGTGGACATTTGATGTTGAAGAATGTCATGTCCATGAGTTCGAGCAGCCGTGGCAGCATCCGACCGGCTGAGATTCGCTGCACCAAGCTTTGCTCTTCGTGTCTTGTCGGTGCCGAGGACGAAGATGATGCATCCACAGGAAGATTGGCCGGGCGCTTCGCGCCAACCGCAGGATCTCCAAGATGGAGGCGCTGGCGCTTGCTGGAACTCACAAGGTCCGGGGCGCACTGATGTGTACCGGCATCAGAGCGTCGCTTTCTAGGCAACGGTTTTGGCCAAGGTCTTGAAGCTCGTGTCTTTGCTTTCTGGGTCGGCGATCTTTTCCGCGTGTCAGACAAAGCTGGAAACTGATCCGACCAGGTGTGCAGCGTACCTTTGCCAATGGCCTTGCGAAGGCTGTCCTGGACCTCAGGCGCCCGAACATGCCAAACACCTTGCTGACCTGGCAGTGACACCCCAGCGGTGAACTGCATGCACTGTGTGATCTCGTACACCACGGGTCGGCTTTCCTGCACCCACTGATGGTTAGGAAGGTCGGAGTATCTCAACTGCTTTCCAATACACACCATGCCAACAATGGCCCCTGTACTGCAGCCATCTTCTGCCGCAGCTTCGGACATCAATCCTGAGCTATGCTCTGGCAAGAGGCTCTGTAACTCCTGAGCATAATCTTCATCGAAGCCTGTCTTTTTGCCCTTGTGCAAAAAATACCACCCCGGTGCAAAAAGCGGTCTTGGGCGAGATTCGACCCGCTTCAAGCCTTTCACCATTGCTTCGGCCATCCTTGGCCCCTGCACAGTGAAAGCTCGTGTGCATGAGCTTGGATCGTCGCTTAAAGACATGGCAAGCACGGAAGACGCTGGCGCCCATAGACTCAGCAGACAGTAAGGCTCGGAAGGAACATGAAGAACCTTACATGAAAAGATAAATTGACTATCATTTCAAATGGTACTATCCCTTGCGCGCAATGAGAGCTACGGCCTGCTCCCTGTGGCTTTGTTAAGCTGTTAGCTTGGGCTATGAGCCGTTGGTTCACTGACGGATTGAAGGGCAATGAGGTTTGGTTTCGAATAAATGTCAAACAAATATAAACATGAGCAGTGAAGCACTCAGCACTCCGATTACTCTTCCTGGTATCCAGTGGGTGTACTTGCAATGTCCTCAATTCCGTTCGATCCCATGTCAGCATGTCTTCCAAGCGTCACAATGAAGCCGGGGCAGGAAGCCTTGCAGAGCTGCATGGACACGGCACCCTGCAACTTTAAGCCTGACAGAAACGCGCCGAAGCCGCAAATACCTCGGATGATGAAATTATATTAATGAATTCTTGTGAGCCACTTGACTTCCAAATGTTGAAACATCGATGGTTTTGTACTAAGGTTGTGGCTTTCCAATGTGGAATACCTGTGGACTAATCATGAAATGAAATGCTGATGGACCACGTTGATGAGACACGAGAATATTTGAAAACTCATCAACAAATAAGATGCTTCTGAGCAGCCCACAGCTTTGGTGTGACCGGAATCCGAAGGCATAGAATGCTTCTGTGCCTTCGGATTCTGGTCACACCAGAGCATCTCCACTGCCTGTGAAATCTTGTGCTCTCTTTGTGTGCAAAGGCCTGCTACCTATCCCAAGCGGAACATCCGGAACATGAACCAAACTTCCGGCACCGAACCACCCCCCTAGCCTGTGAGGTGGCTTTGCCGCTCGACATGGCCCAAGTTCAACGAAGAGATAGTTGGAATAATCATCTAAGACACAACATCCAGGCAGTTACTTCTGCCCTCTAATAGAAGCCATATAGACCCAAAGTGCCAAACGGTCACTTACAAGATCAATCATGCATAAGTGACCTCGTTTCAAAATCTTTGAGTGACCTCTTTGCCTGGCTGATCACATGCTTTCTGCGTGTCACTGCGTGTTACTTGCGTGTCACTGAGATGGACCCTGAAAAGGTCATTTAAGGATTGGCTGTCTGCGTGTCACCTGCGTGTCACTTGCGTGTCACTGGTAAGCCACTTTTTGGCTCGTTTCCTTAACTGACCTCTTTCTAAATGCCACTTAGCAGAAAACACAAACAATGTCACAAGGGATCGTCTGGATGTTTATCTTATCATGAGGTGACGTCTCACAAATGCTAGGATCCAAACAAGTCAAACAAATGGCACATGGATAGTCTGTGACAATGATGTAAAAACCCACGGAAAGGGATAGTCTTGAGTGTCAGATTTTTTCATTGATTCGTTGATTCGCTCTTTCATTCATGCATTCATTCCTTTCATTTCATTTCATGTCGTTTCATTTCGTTTCATTTAATTTCATTCATTTCATTCATTTCATTTCGTTTCATTTCCTTTCATTTCATTTCGTTGCATTTCCTTTCATTTCATTTCGTTGCATTTCCTTTCATTTCATTTCGTTTCATTTCGTTTCATTTCGTTTCATTCATTTCGTTTCATTCGCTTTGTTTCATTTCATTTCATTTCATTTCATTTCGATTCATTTCATTTCATTTCGATTCATTTCGTTTCATTTCGTTTCATTTAATTTCATTCATGACATTCATTTCATTTCGTTTCATTTCGTTTCATTTAATTTCATTCATGACATTCATTTCATTTCGTTTCATTTCCTTTCATTTCATTCATTTCCTTTCAGTTTGTTTTGTTTCATTTCCTTTCATTTCATTTCGTTTCATTTCGTTTCATTTCAACTCATTTCGTTTCATTTCATTTCGCTTCATTTCATTTCATTTCGATTCATTTCATTTCATTTCGATTCATTTCATTTCATTTGTTTTGTTGCATTTCCTTTCATTTCGTTTCATTCATTTCATTTCATTTCATTTCGTTTCATTTCATTTCATTTCATTTCATTTCATTCATTCATTCATTCATTATTTCATTTCATTCATTCATGATTTCATTTAAGTTCATTTCCTTTCATTTCATTCATTCCTTATTTCACTTCATTTCATTTCATTCATTCATTTATTCATTCATTCATTCTGAGCGTTCCAAGCGTGCCAAGCGTGCCGAGCGTGGGTGTTGGCGCGCTTGGCGCGCCTGGCCGAGTGTGCCGAGTGTGCCGAGTGTGCCGAGTGTGCCGAGTGTGCCGAGTGTGCCGAGTGTGCCGGCGCACTTGCTGCATCTAAAAACCCAGGTTCTTGGCGAGGTCAAGTGTGCCGAGTGTGCCGAGTGTGCCGAGTGTGCTGGCGCACTTGCTACGTCTAAAAACCCGGGTTCTTGGAGAGGTCAAGTGTGCCGAGTGTGCCGGCGCACTTGCTGCATCTAAAAACCCAGGTTCTTGGCGAGGTCAAGTGTGCCGAGTGTGCCGAGTGTGCTGGCGCACTTGCTACGTCTAAAAACGCGGGTTCTTGGAGAGGTCAAGTGTGCCGAGTGAGCCGAGTGTGCCGGCGCACTCGCTGCATTAAAAAAACCCGGTTTCCCATTGCAATGCTTCAGTTATAGTTATTGATTACCCTCTGGTAAACTAACATAACTATGGAAAATCACCATTTTTAATGGGTAAATCCACTATAAATGGTCATTTTCAATAGCTATGTTAGTCATTACCAGAGGGTAAATCATGCCACAATGAAGCGAACTACCAATGCTACATACTTTGAGTCTCTCACTGGACAGATTCAACCAGTTTTTTGAATGCCATGTCAACGTTGCAGCAACCAAAAGCGTCAAACAGAAACTACTGCATTTTCCAAAGTATCGATCTACATATCAACCCATCTGTGTTATAGATCCCATATGTGTCTTTCTTTCCACCTTTTTTCTGGGAAACATTCCTTAAGATACCAGTACACCTTCCAAATCAATATGGCTGTACCCATGGCATAGCATGGCATAGCCATGGCATGCTGCAGCGGCGAGCAGCCAGCAAAAGCTTGAGACCATCGCGCAGCGCTTTGATCTTCCGGCGGTCCCCCAGGTTCAAAGGTGGGCAAACCACCATGGTTCGACACCTCGGCCGTGCAATGGGACGAAATCCAGAATGACCGCGTTTTCACGGGCGCTTTTACAGATGAGGGAGAAACAAAACACCAATCAAAACCATGAAAAACTACAATCTGATAATTCGTTCATATACATTCATTGCAGATGAATGTAGTATTACCCAATTGGGCAATTCACATCCAATATTCAATGGATTGGTTTAAGGGAAAATCTACAGGAAACCATAGATTTTCCCATTAAATATGGGGCTTTCCTGTAAATTTTCCCTTAAACCAATCCATTGAAATATGATATACATCAACCATACCCAAATTCATTGCAGATCAACAGCATCACTGCTGCCATCAGTGGCCCAGGCGGCCCAGGGGCAGCGCCAATGATTGATCCAACTCCTCAAAGGATCGGCTCGCCACGGTGTCGAGGTCAAACCTCGGGTAACTTACGGTATGACTTGGTTGCCAGTTGGATGGCAAAGAGACCCAGGATTCCAGTTTATGTATATATATATATATTATATATATATAATATAATATGTAGTTTATCCAAATTCCATAAAGATATCACCCAAAAATCTTGCTACTGATTCTGTTTACCCGTTTACGTTACAAAGATGAGGGAGTCACATTCCCCAAAAAAAGAAAAGAACAGAAACTAAAAAAGTCTATAAAAGTGGGTAGAGCAATTGTCAAGCTAATTAGGGCAGGTTGGACAGGGGTTCTGAGGATTGGCTCACGGAGGTTGGTAGCCTTCAACCAATCAGTACCTGCTCGGAAATTCTCTGAGACTCATGCAAACGTTAGGTTGAAGACCACGCACAGCAAGCAGTGGTTATGTAATGTTATGTATAGTCCTTTGGGCATAAACAATCCAGCACCATCTGGAAAGTGGAAGCTCTTCAGCGTAAGGATATGTTTTTTTTTTTACGACTTGTCCTTTTTTGTTTCGTGACTATTTCATAGTTCCCAACTTATCTTTCTTCCCTCCACCACCATGAAACCCCTCAAATATCTGGAAACCACACAGGTTCTTCTGGACTTCCACCTTTGTAAATTCTCAGCTGCCGATGCAGCATGGCAGCCACTGAGTCCTTGTCATCGTCCTCAACCGCGGTTGCTGCGGCGTTCAGTCCCCAGCGATTTCTTGATTTCCCAAAAAAGTCAGCACTATTATCTCTACTTATGACCGCCTACAACCATAACTTTTCCGCAAAACATGAGAGAACCAGGAAACCTCAGGAATACCAAGAGCTGGACATGCGGCAGATTGTTCGTGTTATTCTCTGTTCTTTAAGGTAATGCCTTCAAGGCTCCTCCCTTCCCATGCCGCAAACCGCGACGCAAGGCAATGGCGTCTTTTCCGCAACGCCTCCCAAACCAAGCAACATACCAAAGGTGGTGTGACAGCATCTCATATAATATAACACCAATAGAACACCTATGCACCCCAAAGGGGTGCCAAAAAAATGCAATGAGTATCAGCAACATTCAACAACATTTCCGTACTCAGAATCAGCTCAAAGAATCTCTAAACTGCAATGTCAACTCAGTGCACCTGTGCCGGGCCGGATGATGTTCGTCTTCTCAAGCAACTCCTCAGCAAAATGGTGAAATCATATGGAGGTTTCCTGAAATGGGGGTACCCCCAAATCATCCATTTTAAATTTTAATAGGATTTTTCGTTTCCATTGTAAACCATCCATTTTGGGCTATATACATATATATGCCCCATTTTAGGAACCCCCCATATGAAATCATAGCGTCCCAAACTTGGCATCATTCATCATCATTCCACTTTACACAATGTCCAAGCCAAGATCAGCAATCCAACGGAAACCTTGCGCAATCAAGTCTCGGTCGCCGCCATCTCAGCCTTCTGCCGCTTCTCCCCCATTTCCTCACATCACCGGGATGGGATGCAGCCCGCTGTTTCTCGGAAGTAGACTCCATTCGTATCCATTCGTTCAATTCAGGACACAAATTGTTCTCCCCCGTGGAAGATATTCAGCTAAATGGTCAGCAGGGGCCGATTGTTAGTTCTCATGAACATTGTCTTTCGCAACCTTACCATGGCCAAGTTCTGGCTGAAGCACGCATGCAAAAATCATATGCCCAGCTGTTTCCTTTTGCAACCGATCACAAAGGGGTGTGAAAGCTATATTTTTGTTGGATGGAAACGATGGAGCTTCAGGCAGCCCAAGTCTGAGCCCCATCGCTGCATCCTGGGTTCAAATTCCACTTCTTCAAATTCTTCGATTTCGATGGGTTCCATTTCTCCAATCTCTGGGAACCCTTCCATATCTTCCAGTGTGCTGCCCTTGCACCGGCGGCAAGTCACCTGAGCATGGAAGGAGTCTTGCAGTCTTCGCTTCTTGGGGAGTGATTTCTGGCAACCTCAACAAACCAACCCACAAAAGAATGGGAATGGGCCCGTGGCATCATTTGATATCAAGTCCCTCCGTCCCAAAAACAAACGTCACTTTTTTTTGTCTGAGATAGACTGTACCGGTGCCCAAGCATTGAGCTAAGGGAGCTAAGGTTGGAATTCAACATGCCCTCTGCTTTAAAAAGGCAGGTTCACAGCAATCGCACAAGGCGGAAGCTCTAAAAAGTCACAGTGTAGACTCTGCAGACAACTACACACCTCCCCCCCACAGGTCATGAACTGCTGGCTCTGAATCTGAATATGTGCCAAAAAATAATCCAAAAATCAACCAACATCAAAAAGACACAACTTTTTGGGGATGGGAGCTGGGTTCGTCCCCAAAAGTTTTTTGGGGTTAGCTGTCGACTGAGCCTACTGTGCACCATGGGCTTTCAAGACCGCCATGGTGGCTTCCTGACGATTCTGTGTGGCTGCACCTAAAGGTGTGAGACCCTGAGCATTCGGCTGATTCACGTTGGCGCCCACCTTCAGCAGATACTCCAAGAGTTCCTTTCTGCCATAGCCCGCCGCATAGTGCAGCCCGCTGTTGCCCGAGCTGTCCACGGCGTAGGGGTTGGCGCGGCTGTCCAAGAGGAGCTTCACCACAGCAATGCGGTTGGCGCCGATGGCATAGCCCAAGGCAATGATGCCCTTGTAATCCTGGCTATTAGCTGGTCAAAACCATGAAATGCCCTGCTGTTCTCATCAAAATAAATCAAAAAACTGGTAGTTGTGGAGCTTCATTTCATATTTCCCCCATTCATATGGCATCCCCCACTGATCCCCCCGTCACCACCTGGCTGTCCAACGGTTTTTTCTTTTCGAGGAAGCTCTGCACCGCCGCCAGATCGCCGCGCTTAGCGGCCTCGTGGAGCGTCATGGGCGTCTCTTCGATCTTCTGCAGCACCGGGTTGAGCTCTGACGGCAGACCGCCCATCTTCTGGCTGATCTTCAGCATCAATTCCTCATCCTCGGGTTTCCGTCGGTTTCCGTCCCAGACCTTGAAATAGAAACATATAGAAACTAATATGTCCACTGTAGCTGTAGATGTCCCAAATGGATCCAAATGGCGGATTAAAAAAGATTAAAACATAATATTCCCAATGGATTCTCTTGATTGTATTAATAGCAAGCCCAAGTCCTGGTAGTACTTCATGGCTGCCTCCATGCCATTCTTCTTGATATCCTCAAAAATGGGCCCCAGCTCTGCGTCTTTCTCCAGGGACTTCACGCGGTCCTGCACCGGGGTGTCACCGTTGGAGAGCTTGGTGCTGTAGTGCTCGGCAATGGCCTGGGTTTGCAGCCAGCCACGCATGGCATCAGGATTCTTGGCGAAATTCTGCATAGCCTTGGCGGTGTCTGGGTTGGTCTCCACGTACTTTTTCACCTCAGCCCAGGTTTCGTCATCAATGTCTGGCAAGCGCGTGATCTGCATGGTGGTGCCATCGCTGATGTTCAGGGTCTCCATTGCCATGCCGGGAAAAAGATAGGCCCAAACGGTCTGTTCCTAGGACGCGTGAAGCGAATGCGCTCCGTTGTCGGTCTGAGCCTTGAGCCAAAATGGATACGACCTTCTTCTTCTCGACTTCACTCAGCTATTTTACTGTATTCATGAGACAAATACGAATAGGAAATCGGGCACCCTCCAGTTTTGGACAAACCTAAATCAACGCAGGACATCCTTAAATAGCAACAAATCCAAATAATCCATCACCATCCAGGAAAATCCATGTTAATCCAGTACCAGTGGCCACAGCAGATGCAGCACCCGCCAGAATCGCTCGTCTCCATGTCTTTGAAGCTCCGCTGCTGGACCTTCGCAGCAGTCGCGCGGGCCGCGCATGGCAGCATCCCGGCCACGGGGCAATAGACGTCCAACGTGGAGACACCGTGAGGGCCATGGCCGCCATGGGGCGACATGGAGAAAATGGGGCAGGAAATGGTCGGAAAATGGTGACTTGGAAAGGTTTCAGATGCTTTCAGAACTCTCAAGTGAGATACTTTGACTTTGTTTCTTAGTTGGTTTTAGGATGTTTTAGGGGAATAATCGGGAAGAAAAAGGGTTTCAAGTTTGAACACCTTCTATGGCAACTGTTCATCGTCAAACCCATTTCGTTCATGGCAGTTTGAGAAGCCGCCGTCTGACCTGCCTTGACGACCAACACAATCTAATGTGTGCCTGTCAAAGAAGTAGTCTAGAAAGTAATATCCGTCGATGACCAAATGCTCGCACAACACAATGCACATGCACTTGCAAATTTTTGGCCAACATCCAAATGATTTCAAACGTGAATGTCTTGGGAGTTCAGCTCCCAAAACTCTGCTGAAGTCTGGATCCTAGTAAGGCCGGTTTTGCTGAGAAACTGTTTCACCATGCTTCATTGTTGGCCTGTTCTGTTGGTGCAAATCTCTGATGAAAGTGGCTGATGAAACTTGGATCAACAAACACATGCAGCACATTTCTCCATGTTGTTTCTTGCCGCGCGCTTCGTCCTCCTGGTTCGATGCCCCGGAACACTGTACAAGGGGGCAATCAAAGGTTGTCATGGTTGTCGTTCTGAAATTCTGATATTTCCTGAACATGTTGAACATGCAAATCCTTAAAGCTGCTTTTGGCAAGTATGTTCAACATGGCGGCATTAGTTATATAATGTTATATGCATTGTCTTTTGATTGCAAACATATTGCGACATGATATCGGATCCCTACTTTACAGACATTTACTCCTTCAGCGACCTTTGGTCCTTGCTCCAAACCATGGGTATTGCAAAGTCATTGCTGTGGCTTACCAGCCGCGGAGGGGAACATCTCACGCCGCATGCACAGCAGTCCGCTGACACTATCAATCCTTCACCCGATGCAACATTTTGACAAGAAAACCATTGAAACTAACAACAGGCTCGGAACCATTTTTGGTGGCTCGGGCAATTGCGCATGCCAACTGACGTGCCATGTCTGCACCCCAACGGTTTTTAGCACAGATGTCACCGCATCACTTAGCGGCTTAGCGTGCATCGGGCATGTTTTTCACTGGCAGCTTTCGCCAGGGCCTTCTACGAGCCGTGGATCATCACTTGGTCCTTGGTTATGATGGCTGTCACTTCGATCAGAAACTCCGCCACCTCGCCCCAGGCCGTTTGGGGCATCGGAACTCATCGTTTGGGGCATGCGGCATGCCATCGATATCATCGATTAATCTTTTCATGCTTGTTTTTCAGGTTGAAAACCCACCGAAAACTATCAAACATGATATATTGGGAATCTTTCATGATCTTTCCATCAGTTTTTCAAGAACACACTTGGCCAGCTAGACAGCCTCCTTGCGGATGTCGCCCTGCAACTGCATGACACTGCCGTGGTCAGGGTCCTGGACGCGGGGGGGAAGCGCCCAGCCATGGCCTTGGTTTTAAATGGTTTTAAACTAGATAAGAGTAGGGTACCCCAAAATCAAAGCCATGCTTTGAAACCTATTCAATAGCCCATAGCTATCAATAGCTATGGGCCCATCCCATCATCCAATGGTCATCCGGTAACCCCATAGCTATGACCGCTATCGCCAGGCTCCTTGATGAGCACTCCGTTTGTTTTGAAGGTCTTCTTAAGAGCACGCAAGATCCTCAGCCAACTGGATGGTGGGGCGAAAAGCCTCAAACGTATGGATCAAAACCTACTGGGATGAAATACCATGAATCTTGGGTTTATAAACATCCAAACATCCAAATCAACTATTTTAAGGTGTGACATTTTGGTGCCAGGGTATATGTGGGGCGCATCATTTTGATGTTCATGCTTGAGCGAATGCACTAAACCGCGATAGCAATGGGTCGCGCACTTTGCACTTTTCTAGAATATCACATCATTTTGTTGGCTACAGTACCGTATGCGTTCCTTGCGGTTTTCATGGGTGTGGCATCATTGTAGTTCAACCAAATCAAATATGGTTGGTGGTTCAACCCAACCCAGAAACAACAACAAGTCATTTTAGATCATCATCCCAATGATGGGGTTGAACATAGAAAACGCGTGAAGCCACAAAAACAATGATTTGATTGGCTTATCATAATATACTGGTATCCATCATTCTTCACACAAAATCCCATGGCTAATCATCACTTTCTCCATCAAAATGGCTATGCATTGTGGATAAAGTGCGATCTTTTCATCAACTCTCCACAAGAACCATAGTATAAATATATATATATATATCAAGTTATAGTTAGTTGATAGATGTTGATAGTCATAAAATCAATGTTACACCATATATCATCAGATATCATCATCACATATATATATATATATGTATATATATGTAAAATCTAAAATCAATATATCATCTTAAGTTTCAATGTTCATTGAAACATTAATATCATCTCTATCATCAAAAATCAACGGCTACACCAACGGCCCGGGCCCCCAATCCAGTCCCAAGGCGCTTCTCAAAATCCACCTGCAGCACCTTCCCGGACTTCGGCAGGCGCACCGACTCCGGGAAGCCGGCCACCTGACCAATGGCATACCCTGGGTATCGTTAATAAATATGTATAAATTATCTATTTCAATACTTGTTAAAGATAGAAAATTATAGAAATACAATTTTAAACATGATATATATATATAGAGAGAGAGTTAAAATTTGTAAAACATCACCAAAACATATACGAGAATTGATACTTTTTTAAAGAGAAACACGAGGTCTTCATCCAGTGGAAAGAAGGGGATGAACCTGAAGTTCTGGGAGTTGTTTTTTGGAGCCAGATGGCATAGGGGAGAAAGTCAAGTCAATCAAGAAACACATCAATTCACAAACGGTCAAGGAGCATTAACCATGGGTCATGGGCTAGTCAAATGGTGGAAAACATCCCAAGATATCCCAAGCATCCCATCAAGTCTTTTCCTATGCGCCAAGTCTCCGTAGTCCAGGACTTTCTTCCGTTTCGCTGCTGCATTCGAATGTGGACCTTGCATCGGACCGCGTGGTTTGTGCAGCACCATCTATACATTGTCTGGGAACTGACTTTACAGAAACTGAAGCCGACAAATGGACCTCATCTTATCATGCGGAGGATACTTGTGCTGTGCTCCCGGCCAAGGATCTCATTATATTCGACAACTATAAAATGAAGTACAGTAACTCCTTTTTCCTCAAGGCAGATTTCTTCGTTTTGAAGACTCACATAGGGGCGATTATAGGTGAAAGGGATCTAATTCATTCATTAATTCTATTGCTTACTGACGTTTAAGGCAACACCCACCTGGCCTTGTTGCTCTTGCCGTCATCTTTTCCTTCCAAAATCAGGCCGTCCATGGTGGCAAAGTGACGCTGTGAACGAGGAGCGGTCACTGCTATAGTGCTATGTACTTCAACCAAACCCCACAGGGTGCCACAGGCAGCTGTGTAAATGGAGGAAATGATCTCACTTGCTCCATTGGTGGCATATGCTTGACTAGATCCGAGTCGAAGGGGCATATTAGCCGCACACCAAACATGGAGCATTTGGGCATGGTATGGCATGGTGGCGATTCTCAAGCCAGTGTCTCCTGATGCTAGTTCTATCACGTTCTATCACCCAAAAATCTCAAGGCTTGGCATGCACATTTAGTCCGTCTGATGATCTGCAACACCCGTATCCGAGATTCAAAGGTCTTGCTGTCGAGCCACCTGGTAGTTGCAACCAGCTTTTTACGCTCGAATACTGCGATCCCAAAGGCCGCACTATTTTTGAAATCCGCCTTCGAGAAAAACAAACAACATCTCATCTTCTTTTTTCTGCATGAAAATGTGCCAAGGGAAACAGGATTTGGGAGGATATACTATGATATACTGCATAGCTGCTATATACTTAGTTTAGGTCAAATCATAATTTGTGTTTGTGTACTTTCACTTCTGGACCACCTCAAAGACTCATGCTATTGAGCTGCTATTGAAAATTCATTGTGTCGCGCTCCTTGTGGCGCCTTTTTTTTGGCTTTCAGTCGCCTCCATCGAGGCTTGTCGCCCTGGTCTCCGGCCATCACACAATGGCAGCCACTTTCTCCGGCTGCGCTACATCACTGGGAGAAGGCCGATGCGGCGATGGGCTGCGGGGGTCGGTTGGGGTTGGGATGGGCTTCCGGGTCAGGGTGGCATTGCACAGCGCGTGCGCCATGGTGAGCGTTCCAAGGATGCCCAGTAGAACCAGGAGCGACTGCCCAAAGACCAAGAAGATTAAAGCCATAGAACCTCAACCAGCGCTGAAGCTGTATAGGCTGTATAGGCTGTATAGGCTTTCAGCTTCTGATGGGCACCAGCCGTAGCCAACTCAATGCCTCCAAGGCACTGGCATACATCAAAGCTAGCCGGTGTGACACCGTTACCTGAGCCGCTTGGAAGGCACGCGACCAAATCATCCAACTATTCAAACCATATCAGTCTCAGTCAACTGGGTCCATCGTCCCAAATAAGTTCGAAAATAAGCACTTGTCGAAACTACAACCCCCCAAAAATCTTCAGCCCAGGCGCTTCTACCCCCAAAATCAGAGGTTTCCACTCGGTGTCAAGGCCGCCCCGGGAGATATAGTATGCCTGGCAGCAAGGTTCTGCCAGGTGCGACAAACACTTCCACTGTGGCTTGAAACGTGCCGGCACCACCCAAACGCCCAGAAGTAGCAACACTGCAAGCAGCCACGATGTGTGCTGATAGATCATGATGCAGAACACAAAGGAACCTTGTCCCAACTGCAGCTGTAGCAACAACAAGCATATCAACTAAGTTGCTGGAAAATGTGAGCAGGATTGAAAATGGCTGGTAAGCTGCAAAATGCATCAAAATGCATCATTTCTACCACCCAGAGTTCGGTTTCTATATCAGAAATAAAAGCCCATTTGCGCAGGGTTGGCTTTGAATGCCAGACCGCATATGAGGAATGCTGCCAAGACGCCTAGAGTGAGGTAGTTCGCTTGGAAGTGCGCCACATTTCCTGAAACCGTGAGCCAAGTGGATTCTATCTTGGAAATTCCTCCAAATAGCCTCAACCTCGTCTATTTTGGGGCAGTGGGGATTAGAATGATTCCTGGAAGAACTTGACAACCAAAAAACACCAAGTACCTATCCATCCCACCCATCATTCTCCATCGATAGTTGACCACGGGAAGAATTACATGACAGGAGAATGCAAACTGTTTTGGACCCCATATTCATACATCGCTAGTGGATTCCCCATCAACTTCCCATTCACCCAAAATTCCCCGGATCTCATGATGCTTTTTCGGCAATCCCTCACTCAAAAGAGTTGTCAAAGAAGTTTTCCCCCATATGGACACCTAAAATGATCAGATTCAATACCCTCTGGTAATTTAAGATAGCTATTGAAAATCACCATTTTCAATGGGAAATCCACTATAAATCACCATTTTCAATAGCTATGTTAAATTACCAGAGGGTATGCTAAAACCATGGTTTCTTGGATCTTCTTGGTTCGGTGTTTCCCTAGCGGATTGCCGAAAACCCCATCAACCACGACTCTTGCGGCGTCAGTGTCTCACCATCCGCTGCAACACATCCGGCTCGGCATCCGGATCAGGCAGTTCGAGGTCTGCAAACCTTGAACTGACAAAGGGGTTTGCAGATTGCTGGAGCGACACCCGAAACCATCAACCACCAACATGGTGATATTTGTATTGGGAAAATATGGGAACAGATTGGGACATATGGGAAAATATTGGGGGAATGGTAACCAATCATGTTTAACCACCATACCCAGGAAAATTGGGTTGATTGCTGGGATTGCCACACTAGCCATACTATGTCATACTGGTTGTTCTAGCCCACGGAGTCATGGTCAGTTATGGGTGTGTGCGTGCAAAATCGTGCAAATGGCTTGTGAACAAGATAGTCTGGCACAACCTCACATCATGATAAGTTTCCCTGTACTTCGCAAACACACCGACACCCTTGCTATCCAAAACATTCCGGCAAACCATTTCCTGTCGCTTCATACTACGCGTCATACGCATCCCTCCAACTCCAGAATAAATGCCACATTACTAGGGAAGTCCACCATGCTGAAACCAGCCAAACTTGCAATGTTTTGATTACAGTACCCTCTGGTAATTTAACATAGCCATGGAGAATGGACCATTTATAGTTGATTTACCTATTGAAGATGGTGGTTTTCCATAGCTATGTCAAATTACCAGAGGGATCCAGAGGGTAACTATTTAATGAATTGCTGTCAAACGCCATCCACCGAGCAGCTCTTTCCACGGTCTCAACAGGCCTCAATACATATCGGTGATGTCAGAAGAACCATCCAATGTACATCATCTATCTATCTCTACGGTATATATATATATACACACGGTATGTATATATATATATATACATGCATATGCACATACACATAAACCGACACATAAAATTATTGATAGAAATCAACATAGAACTTTTCTGTGCTACAGTTGCCATGCTCCGAGCTGCACGTGTAGGGCGAAGTGGTCGCCTCCCACGCGTTGAGTGTCCTTTGGAGCTGTGGAAGTGGTGCAGAGTTTGGACTTTGGGATATCGTGGGACTTGGGGAACTGGTCTTGCCATGCTAAAATAAATCGTAACATCCCCATGTTTATAATTTTGATGGATGAATTATGATTATTATAATGAATTGATACTGAATTTAATGCTACCAAGAAATTCTCTGGGTCCATGCCCGACACCAATGACATCCCAGGTCCCCAGGGTCGAGCTATATCCTGCCAAGCAGCTGGTGAGCATCTTTCAACGCTCGAGCAGCGAAACTTGAAAGATCCTAGGTTTTTTTGGGCGGCAAAGAATGGCAAAGACACATATATCCATATCTACAAATGTCAAACAATATCCGTGACGTCCATACTATCCATAACATGCATAATATCCATGTATCATCCATAATATTCATGACGATGAGATCCATAATGAATTGCCACATCCATAAAGCATACTCACACAGTAAGAATACGTAAGAATAATGATGGCAATAATGAACACATCATAATCCATTATATAATGAAAACGTATGGACCATATATATATATATTATATATATGTTCCATATATTATATATGATATGATTATGATCCTATGGATATCCCTAGTGAGCAAGAATGCTGTGTTTCCATCCCATTGAGGGTTTTACACAATTTTGGATCATTTGGCCGCCTTCGCCCACCTAGAGCGATAAGAACCAATGCTGGTACCACTTTTGCTAGCTGATCTTTGGCAAAGCTAGTTGGCCCACAACTAGAAGTATATCTAAACTTTATGACAGGCAAATTTTTGGCTAGAATCTGTGACAAGCATGTACGTGTGTTGCGGTTTTATAGAGATCTACAATAATAGCTGTTAACCCACATAGAAATTGATACACACATCTACCCTCTGGTAATTTAACATAGCTATTGAACATGGCCCATTTATAGTTGATTTACCTATTAAAAATGGTGATTTTCCATAGCTATGTTAATTTACCAGAGGGTATATCATCTATGACCTCCCGGCTCCCAGCTGTTTCGGCCAAAACACTGCCAACAGAAGGCCCGCGAAGTCCGTCATCGTCGGCTCGGCTTTTCCCTCCATGCTGGGCCACGGGTCTGGTCTGGGTGGTCGTCGAAGCTTCGAGCAAACCAAGGGCACCAAATGGTGGAGGGACGGAACAAACAAAAACTGTTTGCACACCATGAAAGAAATGTTGCCAGAGTTGTGACTCTTTAGTTTCCAAGAAATCTGGTCTAAATTCCCATGCATCCTTTTTTCAGCACTAGCTTAAAGAGATGGTAAGGCAAGGTCAAACCTCATAGGAAGGATACTGCCATTTCGCCTAGCCAAGGCCGTGGGCAAATTGGGCAAGCCCATTTTTGATGGCAAATCATCTCTGGATTTCATTGGATAGATTCCGAATTATTCGCATAAGTATGGTTGGGGTATGTTAGGGTTCTAGGGGGTACTTCATCTTCTTATCATCTTATTTCCCAATATTGCCGCCCTCAGGATTTTGCTTCCGAAAAGCTTTGCAACTCTGAGTCTGTTGGCACTTTGTGCCAGTGAGATTTCCTGCCCATCACTATCATGACTTGAACAGCTCTTTGGGGAACTCCGGATGTTGGGCGTTGAAGGTGCCGGAAGCCTCTGCCTGGCGGTAATGATGCAACATCGGCAATTTGTGCAGCTAGGGCCATATGTTGCTTCTTGTGCAGGTCAAACAAAAAGAGAACAAAAAATGACCTTATACAACCTCCAGCAAAATTGTGGGCAGCCCTAAGCCGCATTCTCAGGCGCACCAAAGTGCGCTTTTCGGCATCGGTGGTGGAGGGTTGCACCATGCCACTAGTGAAGGAATCGTTTCCTTGGCGCTGAGGCTTTTTCTGTCATACACACTCTGCTTCCAAGCTACAAGAATGGTGGGATGAATTGTTTTTCATTCAGAATCGCTGTAATTAGTCCTTTCACCCATATTCCTGTGCATGATATGCATGCATATACGCACGTACATGCGCACACACACACACACGCACATGATAATTTAACAATGCATAACACACACATATATATATACATGTCCATATCTCATCATTACATCTAGAACATCTTGCCTTGTAAATGTATGCCTGATAGCTACAGGGCGATCTGTTCACACTGTGGCATAGTACTAGCATCGCTGGAGGTCTCTGGCTTGAACATCCTGGACCTCCATGCGTATGCGGAGCCATGTCACGTTGGATGTATTGAGTGTACTGTGTCAGCGTTTGTACATCGATGAATCCAACCATCCAGAACCATCCCATCTCAACCGCCCCATTTCACCATGTCTCCAGCACAAAGCAAGGTCAGCAAGGCCAGCAGAAAGCCACTCAGAGTCCATGCTGGTTGCCAGCCCTGGGGAATAAACTGCTGAAACTGAAGGACTGAAAAAAAAAACTTATTCGGCCTCTGAAAAGCTACTTGGAGAGAGCATTTTTTTACGATGTTGTTTTCCATGGAAAATGATGGGCTCTCACATCTAGATATTCCAGTTTCGCGATGGTATCTTTGTTAATTCTTTTTGTGAAGCGGTCAGACTTCATACATCTTATCCCCCTGGCGGCCTCTGGATGGTAGTCCATTTGAGTGCGGCAAAGCCAGCTATCCACCTGAGCAACGATTGATCGGTTACCTGGCACTGCATTTGTCAGATATATGGAATCACCAAATGAAAATGAACACGTTTGCTCTCCTTCCAGCTGAGTATATATATATACACGTATGTATATATATATATATACACGTATAATCGAATATACGAATCCACTATGCAATATCCCAATCTCAGATGCATGCATCAATCAACCGCCCCTGTCTGATCATGAACACCCTATTTCAAGTGGCAACTGGGGGGCCATACCTGGAACCGTCCGTTGGGTGTCCGAAAGCGCACCAGCGGCGGGCTGTAGGGGTAGTCCTAGCATCCAAGGCCCTGCCCGCGTCAAGCATTGAATAGTCTCAGCCCGTCAACATTGATCAACACTGGATTCATTTATATGGGTCCCCAAGTAGATCCAGTGTACTAAACCTTCTAAACCCGGGCTTTAGGTTGGCATTTATTAGATTTTATTATTTTTATTTGTACCAGCGGCTGAACGGGGTGCAAGGAAACCGTCTGCCGTGTCCTTGGGGAAATCCAGCTCGCCCCAATAGACGCCACCCTCAAAGGGTGTATCACCAGGGCCCTGCATCAGGAAATGCCACCGGAACTCTCCGGCTTCATCTTAGCAGCGGCTGAAGAGGGCAACGAGTGGCAGCGTGTGACAACGAACTGCTTATATATGGTGATGGGTTAGACTGGGAGATTTTGACATCCGTTTTCCGGCTATAGCTTGATGTGCAACCTACCGCCCTAAGCTCCGTGCGTGCAACCCGGATAAACGGCGGCGGGTCCTCGAACAACGTTCGCAGGACTGCAACGGTCACTATCCGACTATCCGTTAGAGTAGCAGCTACCCTCTGGTAAACTAACATAGCTATTGAAAATGGCCATTTATAGTGGATTTTCCCATTAAAATTGGTGATTCTCCATAGCTATGTTAAATTACCAGAGGGTACATAAACACCATCATGATTATGAAGACCAAAGCAGCAACACACCCACGTGGAAATAACACCTGGCATATCATAATTCTGAAAAAACATCGCCCAAACAAGTTTGATAATCCCGATCCCCATCCTAATCAGTTGCAATCAATCGGTGTGTCTATGTCTATAATAGTTGCTACCTTTTTTAATGGCAATATTTCAAGATTTGTCTGACAATGGGCGCACCAAGTCCTGAATCATTGGGGGTCATCATCAACCAGCTATGGTTTATCATCATGAAATGAAATGATCATGAAAATATATGACAATTATCGGACCCCCGCACAATCCATCCAAATCCTGGATGACTTATAATGCCATAAAAAATATCATTCTCCTTGTCCAAGGACTTGGCTTCGCGCTGCAAGCGGGCACTGGCCGCCTTTGAGCGTCCCTTGGGCCTCCAATTCCATGAAAATTTGATTGGCTGATTGATAATTCATCTCAAACATACAACTCGAAACCCAAAGTCTAAGTGGATACAACTCAGAAATGTCCAAAATGGATGGTAGGGCAACAAGACTCACATGTCTCAAAGCTGATACGAGCACGGGCCTGTACTCAAACTGAAGCACTCATGGAAACTTTCGCAAGTGCATGGCCAACCAAACCTTCAGCATCCATCAGCCAAGTTTGACCCGTGGCGCCACCTTTTGGTCAAATCCATATCCAAAGGCGATTGCAGAATCCACGCGCCCTGGTAGTTGCTCAACACCTCACATCAAATCCGCATCCTTGTTGGTTTCCATGGCTGTGGAACAAAACCTCGGTACCCTTGTGAGCATCCTTGTATAGCTTGCAAATTGATGTTCATTCAGATATAGGGAAATCATGGAAAACACATGAAACACATCGAAAGTCCAAGGTTTTGGCATTTTTTGGATCAAAAACATGCGTCCATCCCAGGTCATCCCACGTCATCCCAGGTCATCTGGGCCCAGCACCGCGCTGCGTGGGATGTAGCTGTGCTGCGGTCCAACGCAACGGCAACGTGCCACACCGCCCCTAGCCTTGCGACAGCAACTACTTCTCCATGGCCATTTCTGAGACCCTTCCAGATTGGAGACTGAAATGATGTTAAATGGGGATAAATGGGGTCTGATACGAAGTAATTGAGCGGGGTCCTTAAATCAATTCAAGTATGGTATTCAAATGTATTCAATGTGATGATACGACCTCAAATTTTGGCGCGACGTAGTCATAGAGTTCTGAATCGTTTGCAGGCTTTGCAACCTTGCCAAACATTTCTGTTAGACTCTGGAAATTAATTTCAAAAGTGAGACCAGTTCCGCTTAAAAAACAGTGCCAAGAATGAGGACGATTTGGCATAAATGACTATATTTCATAATTAAATATGCGTAATATATTTGAACATTTGATATCATATCATTCATAATCTGTCCACCTTCTTGAGCTTCGATACTTTCTGATACATCTTGGGTTGTCGTCAAAGCCCAAGACCAAGTGCTGCATCCCGCCGCTGCCCAGTTTTTCTGTCTGCCTCCCGGCCGCACTTGAAGCAAAACATGCAGCCGCAGCGGCACGTCATTTTGTCACCTCAGAATTCACATCCAGGTGCATCGGATATCGGAGACTCTTTGATAACGCTATCTAATAGCCGCTATTTTGATCTAGTTAAGGCATGTTTGGACGTATTGATTTTCTTGATGATATCCACATGTTTGGCACAACCCTGAGCTCCAATATGGAAAATGTGGAAACAGTTTTGGAAAATGATCTGTTCATGATTACCAAAAACTATAAGAGACTATCATATTCGTTCATATGCTGGGATGTATGTTGAATTTTGTAGAATTTTGGTCGTGCACCTTTGACTTGATCATTCAAACAATCCATCGTGAATTGTAATGACTTCATCCCAATTATTGCAAGGAACCCAGAGAGAGGCATACTTTGCTGAAGAAAGCCGTTGAAAATGACTCAGCTCCAGTCGATATTCACAGTATAACCAGTATACTTTGGAACTTTCCAAAATGGCTTTGGATCGCGATTTCAATGCTGTAAAAGCCCAAGAGCTTGATCTCAGCATTCTCTTTGGATTTATCTGATCTTGCCATGGGATTTTGGGGGGTGTCAAAACTACCAGGTGCACACACCCGTAAAATTCAACACGAAGCGCCACATTTATCCAAATTTCACACAGCGTCCCATCCTGTCCTATCATTTCCCAGTAGGGAAAATCATGCTCAAACTCCATGGTTAATCCTTTTTTGTCTTTTTTGCGGGTTCAATATTGATCTTCGGGAGAGTGGAAACTCCACCTGCACATGACAACTCGGCGAGTGACATCCAGTAAAGAGGCCATCTGCCTGGTGGTTCAGCAGTTGGGATCATCCTCCCAAATAGGCTTGGAACATCAAAACTGCATAAAAATACTTTGAACCACCGGATCATTTTGTACTGTTTAGAAGTGACATGTTGTTACCAGTTAATACCCTGCTGGGTCAGAAGCTGTCGAGTTTCAGTTGGCCTTCTGGTAACGGACTCTTGTATTTCAGCTGGTTGTGATGGCTAGAAACATTGAACCATGCGGAACCAAGGCGATGTTTGCAGTGACCTTGGTAGACCACAACACCAATGCATGGCATCAAACCCATGCCGTTTGGCACCTGCTTCTGTATCATCACATGGCATTGCGGACACTGTCGTATGCCATACCGCGCCAGCACCTAGCTCCAGCAGCTCTTGGATTTTTTTCTGAAATATTTTGAAATGGCGTGAATTGATATGCACATGCGTGAGCTAGGAATGTCCGTCGCTCCTGAGTGTCTTCCCGCCCGGGCTATCGCCCACCTCCTGCGTGCGAGGAGAGACTGGAGAGGCTGGCACGGTGCTCCTGGCGACGGGCGGTCCAAATTTGCCCAGGCCATATCGCTTGGTGTAAGCAGGGCTTTTCCTTTTCCCTTCTGCTGCCATATCGCTTGGTGTAGGCAGGGCTGATGGTAGGATCCATTGAATCCATTGTGTCCATGCCGTTTCAACATGTTTCAACCAACAAATTGCCGGCGAAACTTCTGCCATCTTCTGCCGTAAAGCCTTGGACATCCTTGGACACAAATGACATGCACATTCGGGCCCGACTCACACCAATCCGTTCGCCTCAGGCGGCAAACGCAATGGCAACAAATCATGAATGTCCACAGGCGAATCCTGCCAACCCTCACTGATGAATCTGTTGTTGACCAAAGTGATAAAGCAATTCCTAAGTTGGACCATCATCCTAGCTGCTATAGTTTGCTCTCCCAAATCTCTAGGTTTTGTTTGGAGCTGTGGAGGGCGGAGGGGCCATACCTTGCAGAGTCTACTCATTACCCCCCTCAAGGGACAGCTGATCTTCGGTGACTTATGTAGTTGATCTGAAACTGGGGCATACCGCATACCTCAATGGAAAATGACGATCGATGATCGATGATGATTAACCATCATTTTTTTGAGTACCATACTTTTTGACAAAGTGCATATGGCTGGCTTTTGGCTTCTCTTTTCACAAACTAAGGGAATTTTTGTTGGCCAAAATGCAGCTGTACAACCGCCCTGGTCGCCGGTGAGCCCCGCCAGCCTTCATTTGCATCTGCTTTTTTAGGTCTGTAAATTTCACAGAAAACAACACACTTTTGGTTTCCAACATGGAGTTGTGACTGGCTCTTGTGGCTAGATGGCTCAATCGTACGGGGGCCTGAATCGGGCGGAAACCAATGTGTTCCAGCAAAGGAAAAACGACCAGATTGTATTTCCAACAGAATATAATATACCTCAGAATGCATTGCCATCATCTCAAAGTGCATCAATATCTACAATGACCAGGCAATGAGCAGGCATTCCTTGCCAGGGCCTCACCAAATGGTAGCCACCAAAGGCCAAAGTTTAAAGTCGCAGTGGGTGCTTGATGAGCACTCTTGCAGATCAAGCAAAGCCACCCCTATGACTCTATACAAAACCTTTTCCAAAAGTTCAGTTGTCCCACGCGCAATTCAAAGAAAAACAACACAATCTAAGCTAAGATCATATTAGATCATATTATCATGAGATTTGCATCTGCATTCGAGGGGTCATGTGCCCTGCCTAGACCACCTTGGGAACAACTGAGCTCATCTGGAAGTAGAAATTGAACAAACCGGGGCTACTGTCAGTCCTCGCAATCGGAGCTGGGATCCATCAATGGCCTCTTCCTCTGCCTTGGGTTTACTGCAACGTGGGCCTGTCAGCACACCCACTCTAAGCACTCTGAGCCGCAGAATCAAGTGACTCATTTTGTCAGCCGGAGGATTGCAGCCAAAAAAGTGTGATTCAAAATCAAAAACCAAGAAAATCGGCCAACAAACCCTTCCCCTGTTCTTCACACATGATCATAGTGATTTTGTTGATTTCCGCCGCCTGCAAGGTGGAGGCTGTCTTTTGTCCACTGGAAGGCCCGGACCATATGGAGCTTGGAATCGGAAGATGAATAAAGGTACGCTTCACCACTGACAGCCACTCGCTCTGCAAGGCCTCAAGGGCACGGGACATGGCTTTGCATCATGAGCAAACGTGAAAGGGATAGCGATTCCAAATATTCCAACATTCATTCCGCATCGCGTACGGAATCAGCCATGGTCAGGCTGCAACAAGAAACCGAAATGCGACTATAGTAGAGTATCCTCAAGATCCTCAACCTGATCTACTGCGATGATGAGGGCCAACTCTGCCACTATCAGGATTGAATTTCTGGAAGGCTTTCAAAGAAATTCTCGCAACATGGATCGAAACAGTCCAAGAACACTCATCAACAGCAGCTGACCTATATCAGAAACACAAGCATGATGGGTTGTTGTGGCTACATGCCTCTGGAATGCGCCCCAGTCTGACCCCAGCCCAACCTCCTCTGAGTCTGGCTTCTCTCCAGGATCAGAGCTGCTTCCAGCTTGGCCGGAGATACGGACGCCAAACTGCCCGACACAGCCTCGACCACCGCCTCAGAGTCATCTCCAACAAAGAGCTGGCATAAAAACGTACATGCATACTGTATATATATAAAATTATATACACACACACATATATATATATAATGATCATATCATAACATATAGGCTAAGCCAGTTACAGCATGTAGGACTGCACAAACATCGAAAACTGGCTGACAACATCTGATAACTCTTCAGCTGCATGTGTATCACCCCAGGGAAGGTCCCATGTCAGTGTCAGTGACTGCCAGACTTCCAGCATCGGTTCCCCCCTGTGATCCACAGCCTCTTTGTACTGGTCGTTCACGATCACATGACGTGGCTTCAGCTGCCACCCCTCCGCTCTGATCTGCTCCAGACCTTCAATGAAAATGTCAAAGACTTAGGCGGGCTGGGGCTCGAGGAATCATATTCTACCACGCCATACCACACCCTTCTGTTTCAAGAACCAGTTGGCTTGCTTTCCCTGGGTGCTCTACTTTACCTGATCAGGGGGCTAAACAGATACAAGATGATACAAGCAAGTCCGGCCTCGAATTGTATCTAACTTTGATTTATCACAAACTTCTTGCAACACCGTGTCGCGAATTGTCGCGAATATGCCACCAATGCGCACAGCAACATATCCAAATGAAACTCGACCCACCAGAAGCCCAGTCAGCTGGCAGCATATCTGAGGGAAAGACTTGAGTAAGGGAGGCCCAGCTTCTGCCCAAACATCAGTGACTATTGCAGCCAGGTCGTCAGCGCAAGCCTGCGGTGCTCATCCCAACATTTTCAATGTAATCAATGGACCGATGGATCATGATTTGATGTTACTTTCCAGGACTCAATATTTTCCGATGAATCCGATTCTATGCTACCACTACTTTCTCAAGGCAGCAACAGAACAGTACGGGAAGCTGGTCGGCGCGGCTCCATCAAATGTGTTCCTGAAAAATCCACCGCCTGAAGGGCCGGATGGTTCAACAAAGCTTCCAGAAAGCTGCTCGGGCTTCGAGAAAACTCCAGCAAATACACCTGAGCGCAAAACTAGAAAGGTCGCCAACTCCATTATACACAAATATTGATTCACATGGCTAATCATGGCTACCAGTACCCACATAGGATATCATAGGATGCAGCTCAAGATCTTGCACCTCAAAAGAACACAAACTTGACTGCAATGATACTCCTCACGGATTTGTTTTCAACCTATCGTGCTGAGCCATTCCCAAGTATAAAAGTGCCATAAAACTGAACTGCAGAAATCACGTGCCGCAAAGTCACAGTTGGCGAACAGCGGCTCTCCAAAATGGCTGCGCTCAAAGGTGCGTTGGCAGCTGCTGCTTGCGCATCTGCTTCTCGAATGCTGGCCTGGTTCTCACGGCCACGCTGGAATGACATGGCCCTTGATCTTGCAGCAATGGCTGTCAAACATATCAGGCCATTTTATATAATCCATTTCATATCTTTGACAAGTGAAGAGATGTGAAGAGATGCTATGTGAAGAACAAACAAACGTCTGGAACTCAATTTGCCTCAATCCCAGCATCAACCGCTTCGTCAACTGTCTCGCCCTCGTGACCTTGATCTGTCAAATTGCAGATTTATCATGGTGTATCAATGTTTATTGTGTTTGTCAGCTGTTTGATCTGTTTGTCTGGGGTTATCTGCATCTTATTGGACACTTTGCTGGAGGCTTCAATCATGTCTCAATCATGACTAAGTCAGTCCAGGTGAGGACTGTGAAACCGCAAGGCCAGAAGCTAAACGGGTGGCACCGGGCAAGCTTGTTGCGAAGTTGTAGCTCCAAACATCTCAGAAAGTTTTGAAACTATTGCTGCAAAATCACATATTTCATCATTCTTGTTGGTGATGTTCAGGGACAAAGACACAATGAATCGTTCAAACCATTTCCAGTGTTTAGCCAGGAGGCCGGGAACTTCCGCATCTTCCCATTCGACGCCATAGTCCCGTGGCAGCGCTCCTGGACCAGCACTGAAGGGGTCACAGCAGCAATGGGGGCAATGGGGACAGTCTGCGTCCAGAAGGGCAGGCTTCCAGCACCAACTGCACGGCTTGTACGGAGCACCTTGCGCCACAGCTTGCGGGGCATTTCTGGAAGCAGTCTGCAAAGGATTCCTGGCACCCTCAAAAAAGGGCACTGCACGTGCACGAAGTTCATCTCGGAGACTCTTCATGAGGAGGTCCTCTCCAAGCTCGTTCTCAGCAAAGTCTTTCGCTTGAGTCGGTTTGCTCTTTCGTTCGTTGCAATTTGATGCTGTTGGTTCCAAACGGCATCTGCCTCTCTGTGAATCCCTGAGCCGTTTCACGTAGGAACTGCTCCTTGGCAATCTTCTCACGCTGCAAATCTTTTCTTTGGGCTGCAGCTGCGCGGTTGGCACGTTGGCGCTCACGCCTTTTCTGTGCTTTGCTCAGCTCTGCCTCCTCCACCTCCACGACGGCGCCTTCTGACGAGCTGCTTCCAACTATGATCCAACTCAGGTATTGCACCCTCTGAGCCCCCACTGTCACTCTCCAATGATTCCTCCTCTTCGCTTTCATGAAGCAGCTTGGTGATCCCTTCCGCGGTGTGTCTCATAAGGCCGCGAAACACCCGATCCATCCTGGTCCCACATCTCCCCAGCCTCCCCCATGGTTTGAAGCCAAGGCTGCAGGAGAATTTTATTGGAAGTACCGGGTCAAATTCATTCAAACTGTCTGATACCTGCTCCTTGGAGCGCGAGACTGGAAGCATGTCTGCCGCGGTCAAAACATGATATTTGGCTCATGATCATCCCATGAGAATCGATTCGTCATGACAGCTCCTATGATTTGCTATTACTATCTATGAATGAAGGATGGTATGCTGATGTATGCTGTATGGTATGACCATGCCCCGATATGGGCAACTTTTGTAATCTTTGTTCAATCACCATGGCACGTCAGGGACACCAAGGTCCCGGCGAACACGGCTCGGGCTTTGCCTGGAAGGAACAGGATGGAACAGGAATGATCATTGTTTCATCAGTTTGATCACTGCCTTGGATTGGTTCAGATGGTCGTGATATATCATAATGGTAGCTTTAGAATTCGGACCTGATTTTTCTGATGCAGAATTGTACCGTAGATGGTTCAATCGAGTTCCAAACGAAGCTGATTCTCGCAAAGAAGTCAGGAGTCCAAATGGGAGCCTGTAAATGAAGCAGAATGACTCTGTGAAATGTCAATGGGCACAAATGACTGCAAACAGGAGCAAACTCTCTTCATAAAAACCCATACGCCCAAGATGTCTTATATAAACATCCTAAAACCTATTTTTCCAAACCCAGATCGCCTGGGCCCCCCCTCCTCACACGATTCTAGACATTTGTCTCGACTTGTGTTCAATCCCCAAGGCGCCCTGCTTCTAACCACGCAACACTGGGATACCAGCTACCATCACTGTAGATGCTTCCACCCATCACCACGGTTCAGCCCATCTGCCTCCAGGTTGCCATCGGACTGCCCTGTCTAAGTGGTCGTACGGCCCTGTTTCTGGGGTCATTTCTACGAGTGCTATCCGGATCAGCAGGTATTTCTGGGATTTATTGGATGCTGCAGCATTTGACAGAAACTCACACTTTGTGACGAAAATATGGGTAAATATAAAGATATGTACAGATGAAAATAGTGAAGCATCTTTGACACGATCGAGTTAATCGAGTTGCCCTCACTCTCCCATATTAGGCTTCTCATGGCTTCTCAATCCCGATTTTAGATGATTTTAGGCTGTTGCCTCGGGAACTCGCCCGAGGTTTGACTACCCCTCAGCCAAAAAGGAGGCCGTGCTTTTCAGACGGATGGAGCTTGATCCGGATATTGAAGTCCACAATTCAAATTGTATAGCCTGCTGCGCAAAAAAATATGATACACGACGCTGTATAGTATAGTCTGTACACTGTACAGTACACATATTAATATCCTTTCCTCAGCACATGATTTGCTTGCGTCATGTTGCATCCATGTTGGAAAACTCTGTATGATGTGCCATGGATCCTCTCTCCGGTGGTTTCACTGGCTGCGCAGTCCATGTAGGCACTTTAGAATATCCCAGCTTGGGGTCTGCAACCAACCACAGGTACTGGGTCATCTACAAATTATAGGTCCTTATAGGTTCCACGATTTGTCAGGCATTAAGCTTTCCCAATGTCCATAGTTTTCATTAAATACTGTTGGGCAAACAGAATGAGCATTAAGAAGCAGATCTCTCAGACTCAGGAAACAGAATTGAACAGGAGCTCGGGCTACTCTTTTCGCGAAGACCTTTGCCCTCCAGAAACAATGTCGGCCCAAGTCGGGTCGGTGTCCTATCCTCAGCACCGAGCACCGGTGCGCCATTCCATATACACATCATTTACTCAAGCCGGATCAGCGCAAGAGGACTGCTTCGTTTCTTCAACAAATGTAAGCTGTGAATGAAAACCATCACAAGGCACCAAGGGTCACCGAGGGTCACCAAGGGTCACCAAGGCATGTGCTAGTCCACGCTGACAGCTGTATATTTACTTCAACTATAGCTGAGCTCACAATTCTGCGGCCAGTCAATGGTGAAATGTGCGGATGGAGAAATGTGATAAACCTCAGATTGTGGACTTGTCGCATACTGAAAAACATCCTTCCGGAGTTTCCAACCAGAATCTGTGGGAAACAAACGAAAGAATCTGTGGAACATGACACATATGACACATGATCCAAGCTGCTAAAATCCCATGATCTCAGATCCCGGAGAGGTTGGTTCATCCTTTGGCGGCTTCCCATTCCTGTCTTGAAATCAGACCATCCCCGTTAGTGTCCAGAGCGCTGAAGGCATCCACAGACCCCATGGATCTCCCGACATCGTGCTCCCCTCTGAAGGACGATGCTGACCCTTGCAGAGGCCTCAGTCAAACCGCAGCTGCTAGCAGATTCATCAGGGGGTTAGGTGGTTACGTACAACCAAAGGCGAGATATCAAAATGGCCCCTAAATTCAACATAACTCAACAAACAATGGGCTTCATGGTTACACATCATCATTTGTTCATCAATCATCAGTGATCATCAGTTCATTCACTGTTCTTTATAGTCATAGTCATAGTCATCATGAATCACTCTGACCTTCCATTGTGGTTCCAATCAATGCTCAGTTGCACTTGGAGCGTTGAGGTGGCGCTGCCCAACAGGCCACCCATCATCGAAGAGCCCATGCTCTGAGCGCCATAGCTCACTGCTCGGCCAGCGCTGGGCTGGTACACCGGGCCAGGCTCCATATAGCGCGAGCCACTGGCAACGGAACCTGGGAACTGCTGATCCGAAAGCCGGATGAACATTTGTCACGCGTCACATGGCAGCTGGAAAATGGGGCCGAAAAACGGAGGATATCCGCTCCCAAACGAATTTTGCCCCCATCTCTTGCGTGCAAATTAAATTACTTCCAACTTGGCAGGCAATGTGTCCGGTGGAAAATGGATTTGAATATGTTGGGACAAAGAAAGCTACAGCGTTAAAAAATTGTGTCCGAACCTTCTGCATGCCCCCCACTTTGGTCAGAACAGCGCCATTGAGGAAAGGAACTGCCAAGTGTGAGTGGTGCGGACATCATCCCAGCCTCATATCGAGCGGGCTTGACCTCCAGAACTTTGTTGACATATTCCATCCTTGCAGCCAGCTGTCAGTCCGGCACTGTCTGGTGATTTTGGGGTCCACTTCTGGAAGTCATAGGCCACTCACTTGGCCGTCCATTTTTTGGCTTCTGCGCTGCAATTTGAGCCGGGGACCAATTCAACATCAGTAACCATCCCAACATCATCCAAACATAGGTCTCAACATGTCTCAACCAGTCTCAGCCGTTGGCCCATACTCGCCTCCTTTCCTTCCAAAACTATCCGCCAGGAAAATCCATGAAACTTGGTGGATGCCACTTCTGTGACCAACTATGTCGACGACAAGCAAAGCATGCAGCGCAATCCAGAGTAATCAGAAATAAACAGCTTAATCCAAAATAATATCAAATTTAGGATAATTTTGATAACCAATGAGACCCTCCGTTACCCCTGCACAATTCTTTCAATGTATGGTTTTCTGAACACTTTGAAAACAGGGTTTGCTAGTGTATCTGCATTTTTCAATTTTTGTTTCCCATTTTAAGGGGAAACACAAATTGAAAAATGCAGATACATTTTGTTGCCATCAATTTTTGTCATCAAAAATCATGAACATTGCCATTAAAAAAATGCCATTTTCTCAGCATTTTTTTTACTGTTTCCCACATCAAAAACATTGTCATAACATATCATGAGAACTGTCATCAATTGCCATCATTTTTGCCATCTTCATCCATCCATATCCATCCATTTTCAGGTACTTCCCAGGGCGCAAATGGATTCAAATGGTACTTTCACATCCATTTTCAGGATTTTTTAGGTACTTTACAGGGCCCATTTTCATCAAAACTCGTGGCAGCCCGAGGCTCTGGAACTTGGGGACCTCCTTCACCACCTGTTGCGTCATCTCCTGTGGCATCTCCCGGATGACCTCAGCAACCACCAGTTGTGGCGTCTCGACGATGACTTCCTGGCGAAGGACCATGGGCACCTCCACCTCTTTCTCCACAGCCTGAGTCTCCACCTGGGGTTGGAGGGATGTTGGAGGGATGTTGGAGGGTTTGGGCTTTTGGCTTGAGCACTTTTTGATACTTTTTCGGTGATTTTCTTGAGGTTTTCGTTCGGATTTTGATGTTGTTTCTTTTTTGGGTGATATTTTGGAAGGTTGGAAGGCTGGTGATCAGGTGAAAATAATGATATACTGGTGGTGCGTGCATCTGCTGGTAGCAAAGGATGCACTTCTGACTTGTTCCTAGAAAGAAGATCAAGTGACTGGCGAGTTTTTTCTTGCATCATGATAATGAAGATGAAAATGAAGAAAAAGGATGGAGAAAATTGTGATGACGATGATGCCGATGCCGATTACGAAGAGAAAACCATCAATCAACCAGCTTTTTGGCTGTTCTCTGTATGCTAACCATATCTATCCATCATTTTCGGTGGAGTCGTTCGAGATGGCGAGTGAGTTTACACTGGATTGGCCCCTCACCTTGGGCACTGTCTTCTCCACATACTCCACCACGGGTTTCACCACCTGTCGCATCACCTGCAGATTCTCCACTTGATCAACTGGAACCTTAGACGTCTCAGGTGGCCACTTTCGCTGGGATTTCTTTATGATTCTAGACAATTTTTGGTGGATTTCAGGTTTCTGCTGATCGACACAAAAAAAATCAAGCAAACTCCTCCCTCAGCACGTTTCTCTGGACGACCTGGCGTGTGAATCATTTCACGGGACTGGTGGGCCTTGTTGTCCCTTAATGGCATGATTTGGGTCTGAAAATTGGGTATATACTAGTACCCTCAAATGCCATCAAATAAATGATAACGATGTTTCGATAAACCCTTGGGTTTTTTCGGGGCAGCCTATTTTCAGACCAACTCTTTTCTCAACATCCGGAAACCAAGTGACGGCACGTTCCTCCTTCAGCACCACCGGCGTCGATTCAATCCGCTCTACAACTTCGATCTGATACCTGGGACAACGCCCTGGGTATGTTAGACATGCCTGTTATCATGGACCCAAAATGACTGGCAACTGGGGGATATGAATCATGATGTATCATGATATTAATCCCCATATATCCCCCCAGATTTTGTCAGAGCAATCTAGTCACTATATACTCAATACATTCACTCATTTCCCTGCCTTTCTATACAAAGGCACAATCACGGACAAACACATTGCATGTGTCCTATTTTCCTACAGTCTTCCCGGTATAAATTCATTTCCGCAATCTTTGAATCCCAAATTCTATGGAGCAACAAAAATTATGGGTAAATTTTATGGTTAAATATGGTTCATTTTCCCCATTTTTTGTCACCCATTTTCTCCAGCATGTTCCCATCGTCCATGGCACAAGGGAATCTCCTTCGGCACCTTTTCGTATTGCGGCTTCGGTAGCTCTGTGAGCAGCTCAACTGCGTGCACCTCCGGCACCTCCACCGGTACCTGTGAGGTGCCAAATGGGTGCGAAATGGGATCAACATTGAATCAACATGTGGTAAAATAATGTAAAATATGGGTTATATATATTATATAACTATTTATAACTCCCATTACTTAAAGTGTTTCATAGTTACCAATAGAGTTCTCAACTGGTCCAGGATTTCTATGGATTTCTTCCAGCCACAGAAATCGGTCTCTTTTTACGGGAGTGTATGGGTCAGATCCAGCCACACATGATCCGAGACTTGGATGGGACAAATCACATCCCAATGATCCGTTCTTTTATGCCATGAACATGGTGATTCTTAGTGTTCAGATTAATCACGCCTAGACAGTTTCGGTCTGGGGCAACAACATCATGGAGAAAAATGCCTTTCTGGGGGAGCTCGTTGGCATGAACTTTATTTTATTTTTGTTCTGGAGGTGAACATGCTACGGCGCAGCATTGAAACCGTGAGAGTCATCAACTCCTTGCGCTCCTTGCCTCTTGTTTAAGCACAGCAAGCTTTTCCTGCACATTGTCATAGTAGTTGTAGATGTGCTTTGGGACCTTCCTTGGAAGACAGGTCAATGCCGCAAGGTTCTGGACAGCGGGAGGGGGTCCAATGGGATTGAACTTGCATGAACTTGCCAAAATGGGGGGCCTAACATGGCCTCACCATCAAACATGGTGGAGAAGGAGCCGTTGGAAACACAGTCTAGCAGGGCACCCACATCTGAGTGCCATCTGCCAACTCGCAAGCACAACTTAACCACCTTTTCCGTCCTCTTCCAACATGAGACATCAAACAACATGGAATTTCGCTGCTCAGTTGTAAGTGAGCATGGGTCAAAACTTGGGAAACCACATATGTTTCATATCAATCATCCGGTTTCCTGGGCTTGATGACTTTGATTCATCCCGGATGTAAGCTCACTTCTAGGTGTCAACCACCATCCATATATATATATACACATATATATATGTAATACATATGTATATATATATATGTATACTCCATCGCCATCTCCAAGAGTCTAGCCAAAGGCTAAAGGCGAGCCAAACCCAGTGACAAGAAGGAGCAGGTAATATACGTACGTATATGTACTAATATATTTTTGGGGAGGTGAAGACCCTGACTCACCTTGACTCATTTAGCTGAGTATCTTGTCCACATACTGCACCACAGGCTTGGGAACCTGTTTGATGATCTCTCTGACCTCTCGCTGGACCACCTCCACGATCCTTTCCTCGTAGGTGATCTGAGGCACTTCGACAATGCGGTCAACCTGGGCGCCCATGGAAAACCCATGGGGAACCTTAAAAAAAAACAACACATTTCCAATAAAACATGGGAATCAACTCAGAGCTCCATTTCATTCCATGTCTACGGGCCACTATGATATACTCTGATGATTATGATGGGCCTTTGTCACATGTTCCTATTGGAACCTCTCTTACCAACACCTATCACCATCTCCTACCCCCCCAAAAAACGGCTCTTCAACAGTGATTCTTCATGATACTTCATCTATTCAATTCAGCTCTTTCAGGCGATTTCAGGCTCATTCACACTCCATTTCTCCAGGTAGCATACTCAATCTTCGGCACCTCCACGGTCTTTTCCACGTAGCGAACTTCCACTTTGGGAATTTCCTTCACGACTTCGATGTATTCCACCTGTGGCACCTCCACGATATTGTCATGGATCGCCTGCAGGACCACCGGCACCTCTTTGGTCACCAGCCTGACAGACAGATCGCCACGGTCGGGTCAAAACCATGGGGTTTTAACATACACCATTGAAACACAAGGACTGGTGTATTCTGAAGTGTCATTTAGTGTCATCTTTTGGATTCTATTTGGTGATTCTTATGATTTCTTATGGATATTGTACGACATGTGTATAATTGATTATAATTGTATCTGACTTCGTTGTCTGTGTTGAACAGACTATTTATGATCACCATTGCACAAGTGCCTAAAGAATCAAGGGGCAGCAAAACTTCTTCAACGTTTGACCATGTTTGACCTCGTTTTCCCCAGTGGTCAGTGATTTGGGCACACCCAAACTTGAATCCAAGGGGTGCGCATGGAATCAGCTCTATGACACATATCATGCTTGGGGGTAAAAAAAACAAAAGATCCCCCACACCCAATATTCTGCGGGTCATTCCATGTCGTTTTTGCAGGACTAGACTAGCTTTGGGGAGTGCCCAAATACTAAACCACCCACTTACTAAACACTACAGTACTACACAATCCATTTATACATATTTAATTATCTATACAAGATTATACAAGAATTTCTTCCCAAAACCAAGACACATGTTGTCAGGATCCACAAACTTTGATCACTTTTTGTTTCCCCGCGCCCCCTTCTCCCAGGGTCTCCCAGGGCACTCGACTTCGATTCTCTCCACGAGTTTCTCCACATTCTGCACCTCCATCACAGCTGCCTCTCGCACCATCTCAACCACCTGCGCAAAAGGGGCCCGGGACCCAGTGACCCGGGACCCAAGACGTGATCCGGTCCCGTGGAACGAGGATCAAAGAGATAAGTAGACAGACAAATAGATAGATAATGATAGACAGACCTGCAGACAGAAACAACCAAATAGATTCAATAGATCAAATATGATCAAATAGATCATTCCATAGATTGCTATAGAATGCTGAGTCAGAGATCGATTTACAGAATTTTCACATGGAATTCTTAAATATGTCCAGCATCGCCTCAACCTTGGGCACTTCCACCATCTCCTCCTTCACCGTGGCTGTGGTGACTGGCATCTGCCGCTCACGCACCTGGATCACCGGTTTCTCCACGTGCTTCGGCATCTTCCGCGCCATCCTTGGCGGGGTGGGCACAGGCTAGTGAGGTGAAGAGGAAACAACAGGGACAACGTGTAGGAAAAACATAGACCATATATGACCATATCATATCATAACATATCTGGAAAAAAACATAGTTACAAAGCGTTACGAATCTATATAAAATCTATCAGTCGTAGGGACATATTTGGATGCAATGAAATACGTATTTGATATTATTTGATGATATTTGATGTATTTTGGATAAAGAAGTTAAGAAGAGATACCAACTGCCCCAATCACATGCCATACATTCTTCAAAAGGAACCAAAGACTGCCAATAACCTCCACCATTGAAGCTCAATGGCTCCCCGTCACCCGACGTCCCGCTGTTTCCATGCCCCAGGCTCGCTTTGGGCACCTGCTTGATGACTTCCAGTCGCTGCACCCGTGGGACCTCGACCTGTAGCTGCTAAGACATCTTAGAATCTAAGACCCAGATGTGCAAAAGCTTGGGACAACTTTTCTGGAGCAGGAATCGTGTGGGCTTGGGAGGCCAAGCATTGACTCTCTTTGACTCTCATTGCCCTATGAGTTTCTGAGCCCGGCCAAAGTTATACCAATTATACCACAGATTCCAACGCAGTAAAACTGCAAATGTCCGTCCATCCGCAGTGTCCAGTAAAACGTTGCCACAAGTTGCCAGCCAACCAGCAGAACTCCAATTCCAGCACCTTCCCAATCCTTCCCACGTTGACCCAGCACCAGGCCATGCCACATACGTCTCTTCGATCAAACTCATGGGCACCTCGATGATCCTTTCCCTGGCTTCGAACTGTGGCAGCTCGATCTCCTGCAAACGAAAACAGGCCTGAAACCGCTGGGAAGTAGATAGTAGATGATATCTGGTGGTTTCCACATGTGTCAACCCAGCTGAAAAATAGGAACCTCCGTCGTCGAGGATGAAAGGGATCATCATCCCAGTTCTGTGGTTGAAAAAAACCACCAGCCAGATAGCAGTTGTTTATACAGGGAGATGTGCTCATGCACATCACCAATCTCAAGTATTCTAAATATTTCTAAATCACATTCCTCATAGCTTCTACTCTGCGTCTTCCATGCTTTATGTTGGTGCCACTGGCAAAATTGCCATGGAACAATGAATGCAAACATATGCAAACCACCTCAGGAGAAAACAAACACATCAAAAGAGGCATGCCAATTCTTCCACTCCCACCAACCGATCCCCAATCTGAGTTCATTGAAAACTGTTCTTGGAGCTTGGCGGCTCCTCTCCCCTTTTTTGAAACATCTCCCACCTGGAAAATCATGGAAAAATCAACAAACATCAAAGTGCATCAAGGCAACTTTGGGTAGATTATGGTAGATTATAGTGAAATAATCATGAAATATAATTTTCACACAACCCCAAGCCTCAATCGCACCACCTTTACCACCATCCCCCATCCATCCGACCTTTACCACCTCCTGGTACTGTGGCAGAGGAACTTCTCGGATGATCTCATCCTGCAAGAGCTGGGGGACTTCCACCAAGCTTTCGTGGATCAAAGTGATGGGCACTTCTTCCACCTTTTCCACCTCAGCCCATGGCGAAGATATGCGATGGCATGCGATGGCTATGGCTGGTCAAAAAGCGAAATAAATGCTGCCTGATTGGAAGTGAAACTCATGTGAAACTATGGTGCTATGATGTGCTATGTGTGCTTTTCAAAATCATATCTGCATCCATATTTCATGACACACATACACACGCAGCACAAGAATGTCCAAATCCAAGCAGGATAGCAATTTTTGGTCGATCAAATTCACGGATTGGATGGTTGAACAATGGTCCATCGCACAGCTTGGAGGCTTGCAAATCTGGGGTGAGATCAAATTTCTCGCCATCACTTCCTTCCATTATTTTATTATATTTCATTAATTAAAAACAACTAAACATAAAGCATACTTACTTGCTTACTTGCTTGCTTCCTTCCTTCTTTATTTACTTACTCTGTAATTCTGTGTATATATATATATATGCGTGTATATATATATATATACACAATACATACCTAGCTAGCTGGCTATCTGGAGTTCCCGCCTTTCACATTGCTCCTCTTTCTGTTTCAATCTGCAGCCCCCAGCCACCCATCACCGACCCATCGATGCCCAAATGCAACTTCCACACGTGGTACTTCCACAGCCTTCTCAACCTCCTCTATGGTCGCTTGTTCACCTGCGCCAAAACTGGACTCCTCAACCGACTTTTTGATACTTTTTGGAGGTACATCATTTAGGTAAATCTTGTTAAATTGAAAACAACGCAAAGCGTTGACGCACCACAATCTACGACTCCAATGTGCAATACGAGCTTTTAATTACTTTCATGTATATATGATTAGTAGATATGAGTAGTGAATTGGAGTGATTGGGGGTTCATCATCCAACCAATTGCCAATGGAAAATCTTGCCAACCAGTCACGAAGGATGGTGTGATACTCCAACTTCCTCTTGGGTGATCCCATGGATGGCACTTTCGTCACAGGTGGTGCTGTGACCACCTTTGTGACCTGAGATGTTCACATCATCTCTGAATACTGAGATTCCACATTCAGCCAGGACAAAGACGCACAAACAAATATAGATGATACATGATGAGGCAAAACTTCGACCAAGTGACAGGCCCGGACATCTGTCTGGGTGCTGCCTGTGTCACCTGTGTCACCACGGGTGGTGCTACCTGTGTCACCACCGGTGGTGCCACCTGCGTCACCACCGGTGGTGCCACCTGTGTGACTGGTGGCGCTGTATAGGTCACCGGTGGCAAGGCGCCAGGCTGCGACACCGATCTCGCCGTACCTCCTGGAATCGCCATTGGCTCCGTGATGGGCTCCGATGGGGCCATGGGTTCGGATGGGGCCATGGCCGGCTGGGTGCCCATGGGTGGCATGTACACACCAACCTGAACGAAGGCGCTTTGAATGTTGGGTGCTGGGATGTTACATGAGGACAATTTGGACTAATTTGGCAGCTAAAAGAGGGCAGTTGAAGAACTTGCAAGCCCAGTACAGGGGCTAATGGTTGGGTTCATCTTGAGGATAAGTTCAAAACTCTGAGTCAGGGATTCCATGGTGCCAGAATACCTGTACATGCTGGTATATAAATTATATAAATCTTAAACATGGGTTGCCGTAAAATCCTGTCCTTCCTTCAGGGAAACCCATGACAAGTTTATTCCTCTAGCAACAAACGGCACGCCCAAGGCCTAACATAAAAGACTTAGTGTCAACCCCGGATTTATAAACCCTGGTTGATGTATTGAAGGGGGGTACCACCAAATCATGATTTTTGCTTCTTAAATGGGCCGCCCAATTAAACAGCCAGGGGCGTTGTTCATCCAGAGTTGACACTTCAAGAACTACACACCCCAAATCTATCCAAATCATTTCCAAATCTCCCTTAATGTGATCCAAGCAACAGCCCCCGCGGGCGGCCGTCCAGGCAGGGGAGGCCGTCCCGGATGGGCAGTGACGATGCCACCCCGTTGCGCCGCCATGAATTCCTCGCGGGTGATGACGCCGTCATTGTTGGCATCGATGGCCGAAAAGGCCGAATCCAACGCGGCAGACGCCATCCGAGTCTTCAAATGGATGCGGCCGGTGGCGTTTGTTTAAACGCCGAAATCCTTAAGCAGAAAACATGACGCTGCGCAAGGAGGATATAGATTTTCCAGGCTTACCACGTCTGTGATACGATGCTTGGATACAACTGGGCACTGTTGGAATTCACCAAGAGATCCCCCCCCGCGAAGCTCAGTGAAATCTCAGAAAGTGTGGGGGCCCCCTGTTGGTCAGTCATCGGTGGACACCTTCTGCAGATCCTTTAAGGATATTGCTTTCGCTATGTATGGAGGGCTGAACAATGGGCAGGTGTGCCCAAGCCAACCAAGTAAACACTAAAAGACCATGCTCGGTTGATACATGTTGTTGGCTCTTAAACCCATGCCAAACATATCCAAACAATTCCACACATAATTCAATCGGGTTCATGATTGCAAACACGATTTCACAACTCAAATGATTTACCCCTGGTAATTTAACATAGCTATTGAAAATGGCCTTTTATAGTTGATTTATCTATGAAAAGTGGGGATTTTCCATAGCTATGTTAGTTTACCAGAGGGTACATTGAGACACTCGCAAGCAAGTTCCGAAGAGACTTCGGCACCGGTTGCTCCTCGCGACCAGTTCTTCCTGGAGCTGCTTCGCTCGCTGGAAGCGGGGCAACTCTTCGCCCAGGGAATTGAGGTAGACCTGGGGGACCAACTGGTCCAGTGGTGCCACCGTGTTTCAACCCAAACGGACATTGGGGATCCCAAAATAGAGGACAAAAGATATCTTTGACTTATTTTGTTTTGAAACAACCAACCAGTTTTATAGCTTTTTGATGCTTTTTGATGGTTTTTGATGGTCCATTGGTGGTTTTTGGAGATGTCCCAGAAACATCAAATACCTCCACAGTGCATCAGTTGCCACGCACCTCCTCATCCCAGTGCAACGCACACTCAGGGCACCTTAGGAGCTTGGGTCACGACTTGGTGTAAGGGTTTAACAACTGACCAGAAGTCAAATGCACAGGTTCTGGCAGTGGTTGAAGGAATGAAAACCGGTTGGGTCTATAGTATATTTCCCACCTCCCCAACCTCCCTTTTTTCAGCATGTAACAGTGAGGTGTTCCAAGCCTCTCAGGTGTCAAAAGTTGGCCGCAGTAAATGCTGCAGTGTGTTCTTGCAGTTGAATGAACAATCCACCCCGAAACAGGCAACAGGTCTTTCTGTTCAACTTTCACATCCAAAGCTCGTTCAGAAGACCAGTCGTGGAGGTGTCCGACCATTTTTCAGTTGGGATCTCCGACTTCAGAGGCAAACGCCCTTCCTCTGCCACAGAGATGGCATAAGACGCCACCTCAGCATGGTGCCCATTCCCCCTGGGAGAAGACCAAATTGCTGGTGCGTTGTCAAGCTGACCGGCCCTCGACCGGTGACCGGGTATTCGGTTGATCGGTTCCAAGAACTTACTTTGAGGGAAAACTGGCCAGACATCACAGATTTTTGGTATCAATGGATTCATCATGGTATTAATACCTATTAATAGGTACTGGTTAATAGGTACCTATTAATGGGTATTACCTATTAATTTAATAACACTGGATTTCATTTTAAACATGGAAAAACGTAACGTGCAAGATTCTCAATGATCTCTTGGAATCTCCCTGGAATCCCCTGAGTCCCATAGCACAGGCGTGATGAATGCAGCTCCCACAGGAGCAGCGCACTCCTTTTGCCCAAGGCAAAAGAAGGCGACCAGAAACTCACGAAACGTGTTTACAACTAGGAAATACTTTTGAAATGAGAACAGCATATTTTATCACACACACACACGTATACATATACATATATATATAATATAATTAAATATTTAATATATATATATAATATATGTACACATCAACATTACATAAATCCAGCATAATACTGAGGATTTTTGTTGGTTCGCATCACCAACTGGAGCATCCAAAAACAAAAACCCTTCAAGTCACCCGCCTCCAGTTGTGGAAGACTCAAAGCAAATGGGGCAGCGCTCTGCGGCGGATGGGAGAGATCACATGTTGCCATAAACCATCCCACCACCCCAAAGTGACCAGAAAGTGATAGAAATGATAGGTTTCAAACAGCATACCCAAAATTGGAGGTTTCTACTTGGGTTTGCCACGAAAATGGCCATCTCTCACATCACAAACGCCCTCGCCTTCCGTCATCAGCATTCCATGTCGAGAACCGTGGGGACACTTTGCATCTCTTGGGATTGATCAGATTGGAAGTCTTGATCGGGATCTTTCTTATCACCTTCCCCACGATTCATAGTTGAATATGTTGAATGGGCAACACATGTTCCAAGGGCCATTGACCCACTGGGGAGCCCCAGGTCCGGGTCTCGTTCCAAGAGAATCTAAACTCCTGCAAATTCTGGTGGTTGAACATTGCTTTCCGCAGCAACATTTCCCGCGGCAGTACTGTGGCTGTATCCAGCATTCGCACAAAACGATTTCATAGCATTTACCATTGCAAGTATTTGTAAGCATTGTGGGTTGTTGTTTCTCACTTATCCTCGCATCCTACAAATCGAATCCATTTCATTCCATTTCAGAGATTTGTCCTATGCTCTTCTCTTCAAAGGAGGATTCTGCTGATGCCCCCCTCTAGCCATGCAGCTGCGATCACTTCTTCTCAGCAGGCAACGGTGAGCATCTGGCTTGTGGATGTGTGCGGCACTTTTCCGACTTCTTCTACGATTTGCATCGATTTGCTAACCTAGAATGTGATCACATCTCCTGAACAACACCAAAAAACAGAAAAACATCACTTCCATCCACCCACAAACTGCAAAGTTGGGTTTCAGGGAAGTTGTTGAAACAACACATGAAAAGAACAACCATCTCCCTTGGATGATCCTCAACCAAACCATACTTTCCCTCCATCCCTTGACGCAGCCAACCATCAGCAGCCCCTTCTTTTGCTCCGACTTCATGGATCATCTGTCTGCGTTCGCCGGGCATTTGCCTGGAGATCCCCAAGGGGTTGGCGGCTTGGGAGGTGTGATATGATGTTGATCCGTATGGCCCATCAAATACTCAAACACATGATCAACTTAAGACAAACAGATTAAATATTTCTCTCTCTCTCTCTAATATATATATATTTTATATGTATTATGTAATTTTGAACATGAATCTCTCTCTCTCTCTCTTTCTCTCTCTCTCTCTCTCTCTCTATTGTTTATACATATGAATATGTATAAACAATCATCCTTGACTAATCTGAAAAGATCGTTTATTTGGGGATACCCGCCCCTACATTCGCCACCATTCCAGTGAGCCATCTCTACCGGTTGCCTTGGCGTTGGTCACAGCAGTCATGTTGCGGCGCCGGAAGCTACAGCTGGAAACCACCTGCCATCGAAGACAGCTTTTTGGGTGGCTCGGTCGTTTGAGTTGGATGTCAACTATGTCAACTTTCCTGACCAATGGATGATTAATGGATGATTAATGGGATATTTCATGAGCAAATGGGATCAAATTGGATCAAATTGGTTGATGTTCCAAAAGTGGAAAGTGACTCAAAGAACTCCATGAGATTCCAAACCAACAAGATCCGTGAAGATCGTTTTCTTGTGGCAAAGGTCTATTTTCGTTTTTTTTTAATGTTTAGTTTTGGGATGTACTTCGGGGTATTTTCTAAATCCGCATATTCATCGTGTCTGTATACAACTATCGAGTTTAATGCTGGTTGGTCTTTTCAATCCATTCTGAAACTATTGGCCAATTGGGGGTCATCATCTCGTTTCCAAACTTGTGAGGGATGGAAATTCAAGATACTTTAGACCAACCACTTCTTGATGTTGCCGGTTATATCCCCATTCTCCATATCCCCATTCTCCATATCCTTCCCTAACATATGATGTTTAAAATCAGCTTCTCCACATCTGAGTTTTACATCTCCCCATCTTATAGTTTCTTAGTTTTACATCGCCCTACCAAGATAAGTCATTTTTGTCCCCAAATGTTTATGACATTTTATGAACTGTGGCAAAAAATGGGGTCATTCCTTCGTTATTTCCCCCATTGCACCGAGGTCTTCATCGCATCGCACCTCTTCCACTTCCACGGCCATGGCGGCCATGGTGCTCTGACGAAAGCCTCGGGGTCGGATGATGTCGCCATTGACGTCCTGAGATGCGCGGGGAAGGTCGGCAACGCAACATGGAGGTGTTGTGACATGTTATGACATGTGTTTTGCGAATGCATTGGGTCAATCTTTTGCAACTCCTCCTGGAACAAGGGGAAAATCAATGAAAATCACGGGTTGGAATATTTTGGACATGATGTGATAACTGAGTTTTATACATTTAATATATTTAATGTCTCTACATGTCTCTACACACGCTGGAGTTTCAAGTAGAGCCCTCGCCCAAGAAAAGGAAATCGAGCGTTGGATGCTGCGGAGGATCATATTCTCCGTCTGCCAAATGGCTTAGACGGTTCTGGATGAGCCTGGCACGAGAGAACAAATCTGCAGCCCGAACAAATTTTTGGGAAAGAGTTCAAATAACAGCAGAAACTGGGTGGCCAATAGAAAAGTGCTGAAAGCACCCAGAAACCAACATAAACCAACGTACCCAATGCTCATGCTCACCTCAACACGAACCAGCTATATCCAATGCTTTGAAACCGCCTCTGATCAATGCGGGCCATACCCTTCAACATCTGCAAGGGCGCAATCTTTTTCTTTTCCTTGTCACCAGGACCCCTGAAGTGTTTAGTGGTTGAGCGACCTCCCCCAAATATGCGTCATAGGGGTTTGATCCAAAACAGAAAATCATGACATTAACACGTTATTTCAACCAGCCATGACTCAAAACACTCCATTCAACGTTTAAAGCATATGAAATCTCTTGCCCATCTTGCCCATGCAATGCGCTCCATGCTTTTCGGACGTTTTGGGATATTGTGCCTTAAATCTCAACTGGGGGCATCCACGGGTGCGACAAATATCGACAAGCGAGGCATACCGGCGGATTTGACCGACGAAAGAATCGATCACAACGGTTTTTGCCAAGCGTCACCAACCACACATTCTTGGGCTATAACGCTGCGCTCGTGCACGGGCACCCCTCCGACAGCTCCTTTCCAAATGTCCTGGACTTCACAGAAGTTGTCACATGTTCAGGAGAAAGTACCTACACCACCATAAATTACTGCTGAACCAATGGGGGCATGCACTGCATGATAAACATCGGGAAAATCACCCAGACTCAGTAGCCATCTGTACTCCATGGATCCACCAATGGCTGGCCGCACCTGGGCATCTGACGACAAATACTCCTCCTCCTCCTCACGATTCCATCCACCTGACCATCGGTCTGCCCCAAGGGTCGTGCTTAACAAGCTGTTCAACGGAAAGTGCCATTGGGATGACAAATGAAGCAACAAGCACTCCACGTCAATCCACTCTCCAGGTACTGGAAAATCTGAATGTAAGTAGATGCAATCTGACAACAAAATAAATCAATATAAATTCATCATCTTGGATGGAAATCCTTTTGAAATCTCTGGAGCAAAATCCACTTCTTTCTCAGAACCTGGATCATGATATCATCTGAGATCCCACCGCCGCATTCTCTCAGCCCGCACACACCTGCCGTGCTGCTGTCCGCTATGAATGGCGCCCGCAATGCTGACACCGATGCCGTGTAGCCAGCCATGGGGCAGTCCTCCAGCCATGGGGAACCACAGGTGCCATCGAAATATTCGAAATTGCCAAACCACAGGCCATGGGCCTATGTTCTTGCGCTGCTTTGGAGGATTTTGGAGCCCAAACAAATCCAAGACTTTTCTGGGCGGCTTGTTGTTGAAACAGCAGTCATGTTAATCAGAGTGTCTGATGTCGAGCAGGATCGCGGCAGAGGGAGAAAATCAGGAAACAGCTATATAGTACGTTTTCTTAGCTTTTATAAGGAACAACTTGTTTTTTGTTAGCTTTTTTCAGGAAAAAGTTAGCTTTTTGCAGCCTTGGCTAGCCTTTGCTGAATTTGGCTAGCATTTGTTAGCCTCTGGGAAGGTGCTATTGCTTTGTGAAGGTTGTTTGGTTTTGCTCTTAGGCCGAACAAAGTGGGATATTGAGGCAGGAGACAAAATAAGAGCCAGGGATTTGACCAGGAAGTATCAGGAAAAAAGTCGGGTTATTCAGCTTTGACTGGCTTTGACCTGGAACTGCCCAGGGAAAAAAGTAATTACTGTGGTGTTTTTTGCGGTTCACTTAGTTTCACACAGAATTCAGCAGCATCCGCCAGCATCTGTGAGTAGGCTGCCATATTTCAGAGCAGCACTGTTTAGAGCAGCACATGATGTGAATGTATGATATTTCTCCTCAGCCGAAACTTGTGAAGAAAATGGATCCACTCTTGGGATCTCACTTGGGATCTTGGCCATGATCCGAAAACATCAGTGGCGCCTCATCTTGATGAATGTCGCTGTCCATGGCATCCATGGCACCAAAACTGCGACTTTCCATGTCCCACCGGGGCAAAAAGTCAACATAGAGACCCTCGGCTTTCTCAAACAAGTCCGCCAAAAGGTATACCTGCATCACTGCATGATCACTGCGTACTTACTTGAAAGCTGGTTGAAGTTTAAAGTGAATGAAGTTCTCCAAGTGTTCAAAGTACTCTAGTTGGGTTGATGACCTGATACAGTTGATATCCTCATCGTCTCATGCTTCGATATAGCTGGATCCCAAATTCGTTGACAAACCAATCCATTCCAGGCGTCACGCAGTTTCATGAGGAGATGCCAGAGTGAAGTGGAGTGCACATACGGAAAGCCACAAAGCACAGTTCCTACAAACAAACTCCCAGACATAGCCATAATTTCTTTCCCCCCAAAGACGTAAACATATTGGAACATGACGAGAATGCATCTGTTCATTCGGTTCATTCCGCCAGAACCAGGATCTTGGCTCATTTCGTCACGTGCGAGAGTCTCACCATGGGCGAGCAAGGCAAGACACATTGGTCTCACACCCTGGGACCCAGTGACGGCTGTACAACCCTATGCCTGGGACCCAAGTGGAACATTCCCGGAGCCCGTGGAAATGCACAGATATGGGTGTATAATCACCGACATATGACATTTTAAACCATCTGATCTTGGTACATTCCGTTTTTGAAATCTGCATCACCGCATGGAAACACCGATGAGTTCCACATACGTCCAGGCACCGCTTCGAGACATTCGATGCCGAGACAGCTCAGAGTGGCACATCCTCGCTGCGAAGCTGGGATCCGACAGAAGTTAGGATCCTAGAAGCCTCTGGTAATCGAGCATGGCAATGGAAGCCAGTGATGACTTTCCCATTGAAATACCTATGGGCAATTTGAAATTGTCGGAGGGCAACTGGAGCATGGTGTTAGCCCAGTGCCAGGTGTGCCTCTTTGTTTCACGCAGTGAGAATCGCCCGACTTTGACATGTGAAGTGCACCCAAATCTATCGAAACACAGTAGATTTCTCATGAATTAATAGAGAGTTATGTGTTATGTAGTGTAATGATGTGTAATGTCAGCCCTGAATCAACAAACCCTGGTTGATAAATCAGGAAGGTTACCCCAAAAATAACTGATGATTTGTTACTTAATCGGGTACATCACCTGATTCAAGAGCCTGGGAGGATATTGATCCAACGTTGACATCACTTGGCCCGGGCCCCCCGGCATTTCCAAGCTTGAGCCAGGCCCACCTCGAAGCCTGACATTGGAAGCATCATGGGTCAAAGCACGCCATGGGAGTCATGCAAAATTATGCAGCATGATGCAATAGTTCCATTAATTTATATATATATATTTATAAAGAGGTACTGCGATCATCACCGATCTCTCTCTCTCTCTATATATATATATTTGTATATACCAATCTTTAGGTGTATCTACAGTACGATCTATCTATCCATGTAGCTAACTAGATGGCAGCATAGCCATCAATCTTGACCCAATGGTCTTTCACTGCCTCCTTGGCTCACAGAGAGTTCCTTCAAAACTTCGGCGACAAGGTCCTTCCTTTTTCCAGGCTCATGTGTCCAACAGCTGCGCAGTTTCCAAAGCCGACCGTGGATAGATTCCGCTGAATGGTTTTCAACAGAATTCCCTTAATGGTTCTGCAGGTAACAGCAATATATGAAAACCCATGGAGAGGGATTCTCTATATGGTTCTGCAACTTATCATCAGGCAGCATATCTTATAGCAACAAAAACTCGTCATCAGGCTTGACTTTAGATCTCCGAATTTAGGTGTCTTTTGCAACAAAGGTCAACTGAAGGACACTTGTCAGCTTTCGGTGAGACGGAGTCATTAGCCGCTAACATCCGCAGCTCAAAGCTTCCGATCTTTCAGCAGCGATGTGGCCCAGGTGTGTCCCTCGGGGGGTGCCATGGTCTTTAAGGCGCTCACCGCAACGATGTCGTCCTGGGTGTGTGGCAGGTCATCCTGGATGATCTTTCCAAACAACCCTGGAATTGGGATGAAAAGTGGGAAAAAGAAGATAACAGAATTGCAATTACCAACCATCCACAACCAAAATGTTCATTAACATTCAACCCATTTTAATGATCAACATCCTTGTTATCACGTCCTTGTTATCCATGTCCCCCCTTGTTTTTCCTAATATCTTGGTTTCTAAAGCCACCATTTCTGGCCTCCAACTCCCAATTGCCAGGTCACTGATTGCATGGCTCGGATCAGTTGGTGCTTCTGGTGCACTTCATGTTGCTGCGCCACGAGGCTCGCGTGTTCGCGCTTCCTGTCATGCTTGTCCACCATGGGAGAGGCACAAAAACAGGTTTAACTTTGACATGGTAAACTCAATAATTGGTTAATATCCACCCCTTTCTGGTATCAGGGATCGCTTATTTTTAGGTTCACCACACTAAGATACATTAAGTATATTATATGTTTTGGGGTTCTCAATGCTAGCGGTGACATGCTGCAAGTGTCTACGCAGTTCATGAGCATTCGCGATATATGTGAATTCTCCAGATACAAAAGATACAAAAGGGTAAATTATATGCACTGTGAAGTCCCGTGTCAAACCCCTCCAGGCTGCTTGTACATCAACCCTTTTGGATTCTCAATTGCTCAGGTACTGGATTGCAATGTTGTGCGGACACTTTGTAGTGGCCGTTGCTAAATCCTGTCTCCATTCAAGACGAGTTTGAACGTTGCACTCTTTCTTTGGATGAGCAACTTTCAAGAAAAAACTAAATCACCTTATCCCAGTGAGACATCATCGAGTAACTTTCCACTTTCTTAGGTATGATCCACATTTGTCATCAGCAGGTTACTGCCTTTTTCATCCTTTTTCCATCTCTTTCAAGGAACCCTGGATTTCGAAGGCCCGCTGCCCGTCCGATAGCCTTCGCTCCAACAGGTTTCGCAGCTCGTTGTTGTGCCGTTCCTCCTGCCGCAGCTGCTGCTGCTCCTGGCGCGAGTCAACACTTGTTGCTACTTGGAAACCAGCGAGCCTGCATGATAGTCAAAAGAATTAGCTTTGACACTTTCATTTTCTGAAACCTTTCTTATATTATTTTTGATGCAGTCTTTGGATTTGCTTTCATCCTCACAGCCGACCACCAAGAATTCAAGATCAGAAGGTCATCACACATGAGAGCCATTGGAATCTCAAGAGCACAAACAAGTTTCCCCACAGGGTATCAAAGTCTTTTCATGTCTTTGCCGCAAAACTTGATCATGTTTCCATATCTCCAAGTTAAACTCATTTTATGACTGCGGCTCAAGCTTTGAAATTCATACTCCAAGCCACCAAGTTCGGATATTAGTGTTTCGATACAACAAATCGTACGAAGCATCACTCTATTTTTTGTGGGATTCACATGCCATAAATGCCATTACCCTCTGGTAAACTAACATAGCTATTGAAAATGGCCATTTATAGTGGATTTTCCCATTAATAGCATGGTGATTTTCCATAGCTATGTTAGTTTACCAGAGGGTAACGGCTGCCATTGTCACATCCATAAAACCAGCCCCATCCCATCCCCAGACCTTGGCCACAGGCAGCTCCTTCCGCTGTCGTGTGAGCAGCTCCGCGGTGGCCTCTGCGGATTCCAGCGTTGCTATTTTGGGATATCCCAATAATGTAGTTATAGTTGGGTATAAAAAAAGGACTAACATTAATAGTTATTAACAGTTATTAATAGTTATTAACTGTTATTAATAGTTATTAATAGTTATTAATAGTTATTAACAGTTATTAATAGTTATTAATAGTTATTAATAGTTATTAATAGTTATTAATAGTTATGAATAGTATTAATATTAGTTGGGTATTTATATACCATGTTCTGAAAACGAACATTCATAGTTGGATATGAATATTTTTACACTTGGGTATTATATATTTATATAGTTGGCTACTAATAGTTGGCTACTGCATATACTCTATAATGTATCTGGTTGGTGGTGCAATAACCATCTTGACAAATATTAGTCAAATGGGAAGGATTATTTATCCAATATATTATGGGAAAAAATGTTCCAAACCACCAACCAGCATTCATAGTTGGGCATGAATATTTTTACAGTTGGGTATTATATTTTTATCTGGTTAGATTAGTCCCAATAGTTGAGCAATATTAATCCAGTTCAGCTGGGTGTATTGGTATATCCCAAAAAATTATAGATGGTAGTATAACTTATATTATAGTTGGTAGGACCTACCAATATTATATAGTATTCACTGTAGTGAAGAGTGAAGAGGATACTTCTAGTAGTTGGTAGTATTTTTGGTATATCCCAATATCACCATTTAGGACATTCAGCTAGGGATATTAGTACAGTCATATGTAGGATATCCCTCGTGAATGTCCCAACTATGAATATGTGCAATTACTTTTGGGGTATTCCCCCACCTTTGGTATATTCACTACAGCACGGTGGAGAAATGTCTCAAAAGTGATATTTCAGCAGCTGCAAATCTGAGAAATGTTGGAAAACCGCAGTCGCCATTCAAGAACCTTCGCAGCATGAGTTAACAGAAGCCAAAACAACACATACCCTCTGGTAAACTAACATAGCTATTGAAAATGGCCATTTATAGTGGATTTTCCCATTAAAAATGGTGATTTTCCATAGCTATGTTAGTTTACCAGAGGGTACAAAAGGCACAGCATCAGAAGCCAATCGGTTGATGTTCCACATCTCTGGTGAGACTGCCATCAAGTTCAACCCATGCTTACAATCTCAGTGTCCGACCTCAAAATCAAGTGAAGCTACCATCTATAGCAACCCGCCATCATTACAGTACAGTATTTCCCACATTTTCCTCATTTTCCAGTGAATCACAGCTCTGTCTTTTGGAGGACATCGTTGCAACATGTTGCAGCCCAGCTGCCTCCATCTCCTTGTTGTATGAATCAAAGATGTGATTCATATGCTCCAGGCTCTCCAGCGCTCGTCTCCTTGGAGTAAACCATCCCCCATATATTGGCCATAAAATGGCCATAAATGGATGGTACATGTATCCCCGAATGATAGGTTTATGATAGGTTTATGATAGGTTTATGATAGGTTTATGATGGTTTTAATGGCATTGGGTGAATCCAACATTACATTTATATCATTTATATCATTTATTCAGTCAGGAAACTCACTGCCCACAGTGCTCTGAAGAAACTCCACCTCTTCGGACAAATGCTTCCGGTCTCTTCGCATCGACAAATTCTCCTCAGCGGCGAATTGCTTTGGCATCGGCAGTGATGTCAAGTGGGTTCTGCATGGAGCTCAACTGGGGATACAGGAACGTTCTAGAACGTACCTCGATTAGCAAACATTATAGGTTGCACTATTACAAATAGATCATTTCAAACAGTTGTTTTGTGGTTCACAAGTTTGGCACGGATGAAAACAGCATCCTGTCATGTCCAGGTGTCTTCATGTCTGCTCAACATACTACGGCTCTTGTCTGCGTGTTCTTCCATTGTGTCTGTTCTATTCAATCTATACAATTATTCGTTTTGCCTTTTGAAGACACTATGGAATGACATCAACACATACAATCATAATAACTCGCAGTTTTTAGCACCAGTTTTCCTTATTGATAAAACATGATAAAACTCTTTCCACTTGCCACCACCATGGTGGATCCTCTATCAAGCAGCGGCAGAGTTTTTATTTTCTGCATCTTCTTCGGGGGATCACACTAGTTATGTTTATGTGGTCGATGTTTCAGATAACTCTTCCCCCAAGCATTGTGACTTAGTATCCCAAATGGGCGCGGAGGAGGCATGTCATTCTTCCAAATAAGTCATTACATCATCAAGTAGAGCTTCAAACACACCAAATTATGTATATCAAATTACCCTCTCGTAATCAACTGTGGCAATGGACAATCCACAATTAATGGAGGTTTTAATGGGAAAATCACCTATAAATCGAGGAGGATTCATGATGATTCATGATATTATCGAACCATTCATACTGCGGCATCCAGTTTCTTTCCCAGGATATCTTCCGATCACAGCAAGGAGCCAAGTTCAAGGCCCGGCTCTCATCCCTCAACTCCATCAACCGATGCTGCCTCAGCAGTGGCCCTGTTCCATCCTGAACACCGACCGAGAAGATTCACCAATAAAAAACATGAACCAAAATGAAACCAGCGACCAGTTTAGAATTGCTTCACCCTTTAAACACCATGGTGCTGCTCTGCCAGTTGCTGCGTCAAACCCTTTTGCTCGCCATCCAATTGTTGTTGCTGTCGAGCCTGCCGGGCTCATCGTGACTCGTCAGGCATGTGGAGGCTTGCAATCGAAACATCCCCCAGAACAAAAAGGGCAATCCGAAATCCTACAAAATGGAAAAAGCCACATGTTTATACATATAAATATACGGACTGTTAAATATACGAACAGGTATTATAGACTACCTGCGGGAAGTTTTCCTTGGCCCGCCCGGCCATTTAAACATACGGAATCCAATTCGTTTGAACATACGGTAGCTACATTTAGATATAATACGAACTGGTATTTCATACTACCTCCGGGGCCTCGCGGTCTGGCCCGCACTCCACATATTTACATGTCAGTTACCATATATATTTTTCGGATGTTTTCAGAAAGGTCGCGGGTAGCTGCCTCTTGCGCATTCTGTTGCTCCACTTGCTGTGCCGCGTCCTGGCTGAAAGGAATTCCAATGAGGGACGAATCAACTCTCCGTGGGTCAGCTGAGGCTGACCAATCATCCAAGGTCCAAGGTTGACATATCAACGAGGCCAAAGAAAGAACTGGTGGATGCCCCAAAAATACCATAATCAATAGGATAAACAGGCAAACATTGTCAGAACACAGCAGAGCTACGAATATTTTAAGTTCTTCAATCTGAATCACCGGAACTTTCCAAACCTTATTTTCTCTAGGCCGACCTTCCCCTAGCCACCTTAGATCACCTTAGCTTCACAAGGCCACCAGAGACTCCGGTCCTGGACCATGCGCAGTTCTTCCGCCAAGACGTGCATCTCTTCGCTGATTTGTTTGGACACCTGGTGCCATTGGTCCGGAAGATTCCCACCATGAGGGGATATTTCATGGGGGTACAATGGGAATGTTTGGGGACATATAAATGGGATATAACTCCTGAACTTTAGATTCTAGATGATTCTTGGGTGTGTCTGAACATGACAATTCCCCCAAAGGGCAATGTTCAGAGGAATCATTATTATAAACCGTTGGCATTTTCGGTCTATTTTCTGACACGTCCTCATTGGATCATTGGATTGGGGCCCACATTTGAACGGGATACTTCTCTAACCTTCCAACAATTTCCAAGCACACAAAAGGGGAGGACGATAGTATGACCATAGCTGAGTAATTACTATAAAGGATCTTTAGCACATTTTAGCACCCTGAGTGTGGGCTGCCAAAGTGAAACTAATCTTTGGATCACACCCGTGCAAAGAACAGAATAAATAGCTATACAGAATGACTGACCTAGTGACTATGACTAAGCAAAGTCAGTGGGCTTGCAGGATCCAGAACAACGTGACCCAGACGGAGATCCCGTCATCTTTAATAGTTTAAATCTCAATTGCATCAGCTACATCATGTCAACTTCCCTGTGATGTGTACATCTTATATATATATATATACATATATATATATAGAGCTATAGATAGATAGATAGGTAGATAGATAGATAGATAGATAGCTAATTATAAGGTTGCTTCAATCCCAAGTTTTGCAAGTCAACTCCTTGAGTTTGTTGGTTCAACCTCTCCCATTTTGTTCCCGATTTCGCCTCGCGATCCGCTGCCAAGGTCCGCTGGAAGCGCCGCGCCAGTTCTTGCAGGCTGCGTTCATCGGCTCCCTCAGCCGCAAGGGCCGCAAGGGTCTGGGAGGTGCGGAAGGGATCATCAAAGGTCTCCTTGGAGTGCAAGGAGGGTGAGGGAGCGGGGCATGTGGATGGGAAGTCAAAATGTTTTTTTTTGCCACTCATCCTGGGGAAAAAAGGTAGGGTAAACACTCCGTATCACTTAAGAAAAATCATGGGAAGTTTGAATTGAACACAAAAATTGTGTTGTTGACGGAAATGGATGGAAATGGTGCAACAGCGGCAAAGTGTACCGCTCAAGTATGTAATTCAGCCGATTCATCAACACATAATTCAATATAATTCAATATGATTCAATATGATTCAATATAATTCAATAATTCAAGAGAATTCAATATAATTCACATAAAATGGAATGCTGCGTCCTTCCAGGCACCAAGCACCACAAGGATTAAGTGCACCTTTCAAATTAGGAATCAAGTCCCCCATAGTTAGGATTTCATACTCTTCACATGTTTGCAATCTTTTGCAGCATGTCGGTCCTGGAAAAAGTCGGTGGAAATCGCCTCCTTCCCTTTCTTCTTGGGCGATTCGCTGCGACTTTCAGCTCCGAAGCCGTCACCGGTGGGTCCCCCGAAAGCATCGCCAAATGCTTCAGCTCCAAAGGCTTCGCCAAAACCACCGGAGTTGAAGGCAGCTAAGCTTCCAGCTCCATCCGGACCAAAGGCAGCAGAAAATCCATCCGCAGCTGAAGATTGGGATGGAAAACCCTGAGCTTGACTGGGCTCAGAGTCGGGCGAAAGTGGGGCCTCCGGTGGCATGAAGCAAGGCACAAACACATCAGCCTCTTATTATGGTTTAAGTATTTCAACATGGTGATTCAATGGCACCTGGAACCAATCTTTCTACGAGCAGCGTCAAGAACTTATCGGAAAGTCTTGAATGATGGTTGGTTAATATGGATTCCCAGCTCATTGATAATGACGGCCCCCAATCTATGAATAAAGGCTAGCTGCGGCTAGCTATAACATGCTATAACCCCCTACAATTATCAGCTAATAAAACGTCGTTTATCAATATAATATGATATAATCAAAATCCCGGCAGCGGCGTGCGGGAAGTGAGGCACCTTTTTCTTTGGGCAAAAGAGCGCTCTGGGATGCGCATGGAATGTCTGCAAGACTGAATGCTGCAAAGGTGGAATGCTATGTCACTGCTGTTTCACATGCAGTTTCACACCCGTCCTCACCTGCAGCAGAGTATTGCTTCTCAGCTTTTCTGCGTCTTCTTCCATCTCGGATCTTCTGTTTGGTTTCTTCGGCTTCGGCGCTTGGTTTCAGGCGCCATTTTCCAGTGGTCATCGCATCCAAAAGAGGTTCTCTTTCACATCCAGCTTTCGTCAAAACGTCGGCTAGCATCTGCGATGTGTCACACCAATGGCAGCGTACTGAACCATCATCTTCATAGCTGTCGCCGCCAAGAAACTCTTTCACCTGGCTGACAAGTATTTTCACTCGCTTATCAGCAGGCTGGCCAGCATCCTTGTTCAAGGTGGCTTCCAAGGACTTCGCGTCCGTCAACGCGATCAGCAGGCCCTTCAGGTAAAACCTATCCAAGTCAACCATGGAGACACCTGGATGCTTCACTTCCAGCAAGAGCATCCTCACATAGTCGGCGGCCTCGGTCGCGGTGAGGAAGCCGTTTGTTTCTGCAGCTAAAGTGCTGCGACAAACACGCTTGATGCTTCCGCTGTAAGCTTCCAGTATCATCACCGGCGTGTCATCGCCAGAGGTAAGGTCAGCAGTGGTGAGACCAACCACATAGCCACACTGGCTTCGCAGCTTGGTCGTGTTTGCGAAACTGCTGTCAGCCATGCAAAACACCACGGCATTCTCCAGAGTGAGGTTGGAGCTTGGGACAAAGTTCCACTTGAAGTCATAGCTCTCCTTTAGAACCTTGACAACCTTGTTAAGCTCCACGACATCCTTGATCGTCGGATTTCCCATTGTTTGGGATGCCAGGGAAACGTTCACAAGCACGTCAGGTCTGGTCTGACGGGCAATCCATCCAAGTGAACCAATCAGCCCTCTGAAGGCTGACTTCTCATCCTCATTCAACGGCGCATTCGGCATGACGCGCCTGTTCTTCTGCAAAACCATATATTCCAAACTCTCAATTGCGTCGATCTGGTCCAAAGAAACAGATCCATCTTGGTTTTGTTTCACATTCTTTCCACAAAAACGAAAATCACCAACTTTCCTCTTCAAATAAATCTCTTTCTCCAAAACTTTCAGGGACTCTTCATACTTCTTTCCGGTGCCAGTGGAATAAAGGTCATCCACGTGGGCTACGAGCGCACCGACCAAAACTTCAGAGTCAAAAAGGTAAAACAGTGCAGCTTCCAATTTTGACATCACCCAGCCAAGTCGCTGGAGAGCTTTGAAAAGTTTCTTCCACCAGCTACGGCCAGCATCTCGCGTGCCGTAAATGCTGCCTTTCGCACGCAGCAAGTCATGTGGGGAAACTCCAGGAGGTGGTGGTCGAGGAGGACGGAGAAGCAGGAGACGTGCTATTCCTTGAGATTGGAGATATGCTGTGCTCGCATCATACTCGCATCATGCGCTTCCAAAATCCACTGAAAAATAACTGACAAACAAGTCACAAAATTGAAGGCCAGGAGTGATGCAGTGGGAGAGTCAGATCTGATGCCAGTGTCCTTCTCCTGGCAGCCAATGACAACCATTCTGGATTTGGCTTCGAAGGGGTACTCCTTCTTGATCTGAGCTTCAGACTTCCCAGTGCGTCGCCGCATTGCACCAGCCATCAAGCGCGGCTTCTGGTTCTTGTCAGTGTGAACCCATCGCGTGTTCACAATCTCAGCGTCTTGAGGAAGAGCTGCGATCTGGCTTTCTGAGAGGATCTCCACAGCGCTAAACTTCTTGAAAGAGTTCCACTCCTTCTCCATGGACTGGTCAAACTTGGCACGGTCTTCTACTGAAAGGTCGTTGAGGTCGATCTCGGACCGAACTGCCTTGCCAGTCAGGAACGCTTCAAGCTTGGGATTCTCCTCGTAGCATGTGGAGTCATCAGACATGGAATCGTCAGTGTGCTCTGACGCATCAGCCAGACGTCGATGAGCAAGTCGGTCAGATAGATCTTCGCATCCAGCAGGCCAATCATTCTCTTGGACAGCTTCTCCAAGATAAGGCCCAGTGAAAACTCTGGCACCTCCACCTTGAGGACCATAGCTTGGTTCTGGTGCTGTTCGAGGTAGTCCATAGCTTCCGCCAGGATGCCCATCAAGTCGTTGTGGATTCCGCATCGCTTGGTGAAGCTGAGCAATGAAGGGAGCAACAGGAGCAGGTTGTTGAGGAAGTTGTTGATCCCTCGGGGTCTGCGGACCAGGATCAGGTTCTTGCTCGGTCACCTGTCTCATATGGCCAGCATGGCTTTGCTGCTGCTGCTGTTGTTGCAAAGGCACATCGCCCGTCCTTATCTCTTGCTCTGCATCTGGAGGCGGGTCATCAAAGACTGTTGGTCGTTCTTCAGGAATCGCAGGCATTGCAGGTTGGGACACAAATTGTCCTGATGCAGGCCGGGCTGAGGAACTTGCCAAGGTCGTAGTTGGTGTTGTCCTGAAAATTGTTTCGCCAACCCATTTGGCCACAAGTTCGCGTCCAAGGTCTTGACGCCAGTTGTCGGTGATGGTGTCCGTGAGGACGTGATCACGCATCTCAGCCTCATAAATGGCCTCAGTCACTCGTTCATCTTGGAGTTGGTCAAGTGGTACTGGGCAAGCATCAGGAACATAAAGTGCTTTTCTGGGAACGTTGTGGACCCGAACAACTCGTCCATCTGGAAAAGTTCGCCAAAAATCGGCGTTGACACCACCCCCCTGCAGCTGAAGCATTGGTTGCTGAAGCTGGTTGCGGATGTCAACATAGTTGCGGGCTCCACGGTCGCTTCCCTGCTCCACGGCATAGTGGGGCACATAGTGAGCTGCCAAAAGCTCATCTTCACTTGCAAACCTCAATTGTTCACCAGAGGCCAAAATCACGCTGGGACCATAGCGGAGCCAATAGCTGCTTGGGGCTGAGCCATCAGTGGCTGGATCGCCGTCTTCAGTGCGGCGTGGGTTGCGAAGTTCGAGTCCAATGACTCTCGCAGGTCCATACCAGTTGTAAGGTCGGCCATCTTGTTGCCGTTGCTGAGGCTGGCGCCTGTAAAAGTACACGTAGGATCCAATAGGAAAAGGTCCACGTGTTGGTGTACTCTTTCTCAACAGTGCTCGCCTCACACGGCTATCTGAATCCAAACGAATTTGAGCCACTCGAGCAGCTTCACGAACGGCCAAAGTCTTTGCCATTTCACTGTGGGGGTTTTCAGCTGCTTCGAGAACTTCAAGTTGTTGGCTCTCATCTGAACTGAGAAGGCTGCCTGGAAGGCGGGTCTCAGGATGGCCAAGTACCCACTGGTTGGGCGAGTACCCATTGGTGCGTGGAAAGGCATTTCTGGTTTGCGTCACAATTGACGCAGCAGTGATTGCATCTGCAAGTGTTGAAACATCAACATCAACAACAGTCTTGGCCCAGACTTCTTTCCAAAGGCCACCAGCACGTTCGCACTTTCCATTCTGCCAAGGTGATTCAAGAGGAATCACTTGCTGCTCGACACCATACTGCTTCAGGTAGTCTGAGAACTGAGCCATGTACTCCTTGCCACGGTCAACTTGGAGAGAATGGGGAAGTCCAGCCCAAGATGACCATGAAGTCAAAAAGTGACGGAGCACAATGCCAGATGATGGCGTCCCAGTCAGTTCTCCAAGGCAAGAAACCACTTGAAACCCAGTTGCATCGCAAAGGATGTTGAGGAAGGCTAAACTTTTGCCTTGGCTGTTCTTGGCATAGAAGGTGTCGGCAAGGATGTGCTGGTTGAACACATAGGCCGATGGCATTCTCACAGGCTTGGGACGTTTCTGCCGGATTGATTCACCACAAGCGTCACAGACCATAAGTCCAGCGGCTCGGACGACTTCCGGCTTTGCCCCCTGACGTCGCAGGATTCTCTGCATTGTTGTTGAGGTTGGATGTCCAAAATTGACATGCAAGGTCCTGAGCAACTTGCGAATCTCAGGATCCACTTGAAGCCATTGATGTCGGCGATCAGCTTCTGTCTGGTTGAGGATTGGGTCCAGTGCTGCAGCTTGTTGAGCTCGAAAAGATGAGTCATCATCTGGAGGTAGATCACCAAGTTCGCCAACTGATTGAGGTGCTTCAGCTCCTTGTGGTCGCACATAAACTGGCGGAGCTGGGCTTGAGATCGTTGCCATTCGACCCTGTCTGCGGCGCTTGGGAGATCTCCCAGAGAGACCGCTCGCAGGACGGCGCTGAGCATCACCAGCATAGATCTCATCAGCGAGGTGCTCCTCAATGGCGGCTTGTTGTATGATGCAATCCAAAACCATCTGATTGAGCTCGGAAGGCCATGCTGCAGCTTGAGTGGTTCTGGGGCCAAACTCATTGTTGCCCTCAAGTGGTTGATGTTCATGGCTATGATCACATCGGCATGTTGCAAAAACGCTCTCAGCACACAACATTGATGTGATGTAAAAGGAAGGCTTCTTGTTGGGCAGTCCGGTGACGGAATCTTTGTAGCCAACCATGCAGCCGTCAACCACGATGAACAGCAAAGTGCCGTCCTCAACCAACTTTCTAACATCTGCCATTTCAGGTTCATGAAGGACTTGTGACCCCAGAGGTTGTTCCATGAAGATGTGCCTGTTGGCACGGAGTCTATCCTTGATGGTCTT